TTTGCTATTTAATTAATTCTGGAAGCCAACTATGCTCACCACTGTACCACCAACACTGCTTTTTAATTAGTTGATAATTTCTGCCTATGAATTGTATGTTTAGCCCATTTATATTTGCACATACTTTAGACTTTAAAATTGTCTCATAGCCCCCTAAGTCTGTATGCTGCTGCTGCTGCTGCTGCGTCTCTTCAGTTGTGTCTGACTCTGTGCAACCCCATAGATGGCAGCCCACCAGGTTCCCCCATCCCTGGGATTCTCCAGGCAAGAATACTGGAGTGGGTTGCCATTTCCTTCTCCAATGAATAAAAGTGAAAGTGAAGTCGCTCAGTCATGTCCGACTCCTAGCCACCCCATGGACTGCAGACTACAATGTTCTTCCATCCATGGGATTTTCCAGGCAACAGTACTGGGGTGGGTTGCCATTGCCTTCTCCGCTAAGTCTGCATACATTTTCATTTATTCATTTTTCTCTTTATTCTTCAGATTGATTTGTGTTTAAGTTTACTAAATGTTATTTTTTTTAATTTGTCTGTTTTTAACGGGAGGACAATCGCTTTACCATGTTGTTGGTCCCTGCGTATGTCAGCATGAGTCAAGCACAGGCCGTCCCTCCCTCTTGAACCTCCCTCAGATGCTGGATGTCCTTCTGTCTCCAGTCTGTTAAGCCCATCCAAAGAAGTTTCCATTTTAGTTACTGTTCAGTTATAGAATTTCCAGTTGGTTTTTTAAAATAGTTTTCATTTTTCTGTTGGTTTTTCCTTCTGTTCATTCATTGAAATTATTTTTTCCTTTTTTCCTATAACATACTTTCTTCTAGGCTTTTGAGCAGATTTGAAAGAGATATTTAATGTGTTAGATAAATCCAGTGTCTTTTGGGGCTGTTTTCTATTGACTGCTTTTTTCTTGATGATGAGTCACATTCTTCTTTTTGCCTCTCAGGTAATTTTTAAATTATGTACTGGTCCTTTTGGATATGTTATAGAGACTCTGGATTTTATTTGTCTTTGACAAGTGTTGGTTTTCATTTTAATAAGCTGTCCGGTTACTTGTTGATAACCTTTTAACTTTGGAGCCTTCGTTTTCTACTTTATGAATGTGGATGTGTTTAAAGACCAAGTTGTTCCCAAGTCCTTTTAAGGACTGTACCTCCAAACTCTACTCTTTTTGATCTTTTAGGGTTTGGTATTATAGAACTTTGTTAGGTGGTGCTAGAGTAGGCCTTGCTTTAGAGCATGGTTCTTTCTCCTAAGATGTCTTGCCTGGATGCCCAGGAAACCATCAGGGTTTTTTCACTCTTTTTCTTTTGGCTGGAAATAAAGTTTAACATCTGGTGTCTCAGTTTTGTTGTCAGCTGCATAGCAGTTGCTCTCTGGTATACCTTTGCTATTTCCTCTTTGAATAATCCCTACCTTTGTTGAGCTTACATTCTAATATGGGACTCAGACAATACAAGGAAGCAAAAATTGCAAGTTAAATGTCTTATTAGAAGAAAACAAATTGAGTTCTCAGGTAGAGAACAATGAGATTTTTCCCACCACATCTGTAGTTACTTCCTCACTGAGTCTTGAACTCCTCAAAGTCAGGAGTGAGAGTTGGAATTAACTTCTTCTAAACTCCTGTTAGTGTTGATATTTTGACCTCTTCCCATGGATCACAAATGTTCTTTATGGCATCTAGAGTGGTGAATGCTTTCCAGGTTTTTAGTTGACTTTGCCTGGATGCATCAGCTGAATCACTGTCTATGGCAGGGTATAGCCTTACAAAATGTTTTTCTTAAATAGTAAGACTTGAAAGTTGAAATAACTCTTTGATCCATGGGCTGCAGAATGGATGTTGTGTTAGCACACATGAAAATAGTATCATGATACATTAGTATCATCGTACATCTCCATCAGAGCTCTCAGGTGAACCGGGTACATTGTTAATGAACAGTAATAATTTGAAAGGAATCTTTTTCTTTGAGCATAGATGTCACCAGTGGGCTTAAAATATTCAGTAAACCATGTTGTCAACAGATATGCTGACATCTAGATTTTGTTGTTCCATTCATAGAGCACCATCAGTAGATTTGACATAATTCTTACAGGCTCTGAAATTTTTGGAATGGTTGTCTCAGCTCGATCCTTTGGATAACTTGCAGCAGCTCCTACATTAGCACTTGCTGTGTCACCCTGCTCTTTGATACTATGAGGAAAGCTCATGGGTAGCCTACTTCTGCTGTCTTCAGACATTTCTTCTATAGCTTCCTTTTCTCTCTCAGCCTTCACAACTGAAGACAGTTAGAGCCTTGCTCTGGATTAGGCTTTGGTTTATGGGAATGGTGTTGCTGGTTTGATCTTCTATTCAGACCACCAAAACTTCATTCATATTAACAATAAGGCTGTTTTGCTTTCTTATCATGTATGTGTTCATTGGAGTAGCACTTTTAGTCTCCTTCAAGAACTTTTTCTTTGCATTTACAGCTTGGCTCACTGGTGCAGGAGGCCTAGCTTTCAACCTGCCTCAGCTTTCGTCATGCCTGTCTTACTGAGCCTAATCATTTCTAGCTTTTGCTTGAAAATGAGAGATGCACAACTCTTCCCTTCACCTGAGCACCCACAAGCCATTGTAGGCTTAATTTCAATATTGTTGTTGTCTCAGAGAATAAGGAGGCCCAGCGTGAGGGAAAGAGGGGAATAGTAGGTCAGTGGAACAGTCTGAACACACACAGCATTTATTAAGTTTACTGTCTTGTATGAGCATGGTTTGTGGCACCCCATAACAATGAGAAAGTCTGAAATATTGTGAGAATTACCAAAATGTGACACAGAGACATGAACTGAGCAAATGCTATTGGAAAAATGGCAGCAGCAGATTTGCTCAACAGTGTTGCCACAAACCTTCAGTTTGTTAAAAAAAAAAAAAAAATAATGTAATATATACAAAGTACAGTAAATCAAAGTGCAGTAAAACAAGGTATTCCTGCAAAAACTGTCAGACCAGAGTGGTATCAGTGGAGATAGTTAGAAATAGTTGGTTTCTGAGACTGTTTGAAGGTAGGACTGATGTGATTTGCTGATGAGCTTTATGAGCTTTTTCTCATAGAAAAAGAGGAGCCAGAGGTTTTTAGCCAGAGCAGTTAGGAGAATGAATATGCCATTTACTGAAATAGAAACTATAGGAGGAATAAATGGAGGGGTGAAGATGTGGAATTCAGTTTTGGACATCCTATTAGATAATTCAAGTGTAAATGTTAGCAGTTTACTGTTTATTATTGGTTATCCAATAGATGTCAACTATTACAAACATTCAATAAATATTTATTGGTTCTGTGGTAGAGTTTGCTAAGTTATATTCTAGGATTAAAATGATGGTCAAAATAGACGTTGTCCTTGCCCTTATGGAATTAGCAGTCTAATGAAAAAGGTAAGAACTGATCAATAACCATATTATTGGTGGTTCTCCCCTGTTTTTTTTTAAAAAATAACCTTTTAAATAAGATACCCAGTGCTTGCTTCGGCAGCACATATACTAAAATTGGAACGATACAGAGAAGATTAGCATGGCCCCTGCGCAAGGATGACACGCAAATTCGTGAAGCGTTCCATATTTTTAAGGTGGTTCATAAACAAGTTGCAGCAGAATTGCTGGATAGGGAAGAAGCAAGAAATAGAAGGTTTCATCTCATAGCTATGGATGCTTATCAAAGGCATACAAAGTTTGTAAATGACTATATTTTATATTATGGTGGCAAAAAAGAAGACTTCAGACAATTGGGGGAAAATGACAAGACAGACATCGATGTTATACGAGAAAATCATAGATTCCTATGGAATGAGGAGGATGAAATGGACATGAATTGGGAGAAGAGACTTGCAAAGAAATACTATGATAAATTATTCAAGGAATACTGCATAGCAGATCTCGGCAGATACAAAGAAAATAAGTTTGGATTTAGGTGGCGAATAGAAAAAGAAGTAATTTCAGGAAAAGGCCAGTTTTGCTGTGGAAATAAATGTGATGAAAAAGAAGGCTTAAAGAGTTGGGAAGTTAATTTTGGTTATACTGAGCATGGTAAAAAAAGAAATGCACTTGTTAAATTAAGATTATGCCAAGAATGTTCCCTTAAATTAAATTTTCATCACAGGAGAAAATAAGTCAAAAAAAAAGAAAGGATAAAGCCAAAAAGGATTCTGAAGAGTCAACACATAAAATATCCAGATTATCTTCTGTAAAAGAGACCTCTAAGAAAAAGGATAAAGTGCATTCATCCTCAGTGAAATCAGAAAGTTCTGTCAACAGAAACTCTGATGAGGAAGAAAGTGCTTCAGAGTCTGAACTTTGGAAGGGCCCACTACCAGAGACAGATGAAAAGTCACAGGAAGAAGAATTTGATGAATATTTTCAAGATTTATTTTTGTGAGATGAAAGAGGGATGCCTGCATTCCTTAATGCAAAGTGTACTTTGAAATTCTTCACAAAAGTTTTGTCTACAAGTTGCAACATCAGTGGTTTGTCTTTGGAAATAAAAAATCCATCTAGGATGGATTGTCAGATGCTTTGGGAAAATAAATAAATAAATAAGATACCCAAAAAGAAGTAAGGATGACTTAACAAAATCACAAATAACCCTTGGTATCTAAATTTACTAGGTTCTTATGTTCAAATCATGATGGATACATGTACATATCTTACAATTTTTTCACTTAACAACGTCTTATTCTTTAAATTGGTTGGCTTAACATGAAGGAATAAAGCTTCATGAATTCAGTTTATTTAGATGAAATGAGGTAGTTTTATAGTGAGTTTAGCATTTAAAGGTATTGAATATTTCATGAAAAATTTAGGCTGTTGGGAATTTTCTCCCCATTAAAAATGTTATGTTTTTACATTTTGTTATCTAAGGATCATTTTTTTTTTGTAACTAAATCTTGAAGAATAGCATTATAGAATGATCTGTTGTTCACCATTTTCTCATAAAATTAAAATATTAATTCTTGTATTTTAAAAATCAACAGGTTCGTCATAAGGCATCACAGAAAGTTTACGCTATGAAGCTTCTTAGTAAGTTTGAAATGATAAAAAGATCAGATTCTGCTTTTTTCTGGGAGGAAAGAGATATTATGGCCTTTGCCAACAGTCCCTGGGTGGTTCAGGTAAGCAGACTAACTTTTTATATGTTTATTTCCCTTTTTTATAAGTGCTTGTTATTAGAATTGATTTTGCATTCTGAAAGTCCTATATCTCATTCACATGACAGTGCAGTTATTTTTAGTATGATCTGATTCATTACACTTGTTTAATCTTCTAAAGTAGTATGTCATTTAGACATGATAGGTATGACGTAAATTGTACAGAAACAAGTATTACTTGCAACTTTCTCTTTTTCAATTCCTTTTTAAAGAATTGAGTTACCAGTATGCTATTGTCCCCCACTTACTCTTTCTCATGATTTGTATGGTTGTATGATAAGAACAATAATTAGTTTATCTTGAAAAGGAGAAAAAATTCTACCTTAAAATTTTTGAAAATTCTCTTTCATTCCTTTATGTGTTACCTATAGAGTAAGACAGTATTGGGATTCCTAATTCAGCCTTTTATTCGACTGTGAAGTAAGTTTATTTTGCCTTTTTTTCAGTTATATTCCTCACTAGCGTTGGTTTTCTAATGTTGTTTTTTTTTGTGTGCTAATAGCTAATTCTGCAGACATTTTTGGTCAGATATCATGAGTAAACTTAGATATATATCAGAGCATGTTCAGTACACTTAAATGATCCACAAGTTTGATACCATGTTTGTGGAAGGCTATTTGGAGATAAAAGATTTGCTTCACTGATGACCATATTTTTTAAAAGCTCATTACCATTGCTTTTTTTGTGTGATGTTGAGCTTCACCCTTCCACCTCATTTTATTTTTTAAATGTAGCCAGTAGCTAGAAATTTCCAATATGTATAGTTAATACTAAATTTTTTGTAGCAAATTATATATCATGGTAATCTACTTGATTAAGAAGTGATGGTAGCAGAGTATTAATCCACTTTTAGCTTTCAATTGCTTTCATAGTAACAGATTGCCAGTTCTAGTTTAATTTTATAAATTTATATCTTTGATCTTTAATTCTGCAGGGTAGACATGTAAAAACTGTCTACTGAGATGGTTAATGAATTTTTGGAAGCATATCTAATAGTGAAACATTGCACAGTTGAAAGAATAATAGATTATAATCCTAGTTATCATTTATTTATCTCTGGTAAAGCACATTTCGTGTACCATCATATTTATATGTATGAAATGTGTGACTTTTGGGAAAACTTATCAAAATAACTGACTTGTTTCTATTTAGTTAGTTAGTTTTCAGTAATTTTCAGTATATTTATGGAGTTGTGTAGTCAGTCATCACTGCTACCTAATTATAGAACACTTTTATCACAAAAAGAAACCTTGAACCAGTTAGCAGTTACTCCGAGTCTTTCCTGCCCAGTGGCAACCACTCATCTGCTTTCTGTGTTGTGGATTTCCCTATTGTGAACATTTTGTAAAAATGCGATCATACAGTATATGGTATTTTGTGACATCTTTTTTTATTTAGTATAATATTTTCCACATGCATTCATGTTGCAGCTTGTATCAGCACTTGATTCTTTTTACTATGGATGAATAATATTCTGTTGTATGGATCTACCACATTTTTTCACTTCATTTCATGGATACCTGGGTTGTTTCTGCCTTTTGGCTATTATAAATATTTTGTGCTCAATTTTCTTTCATATGAATTTTTGTCACATATGTTTACACATTTCTGTTAGGGATCTATCTACCTTGCAGTGAAAATAATGGGTCATAAATAAGCCTATAATCAATTTTAGTTGATTATTGCAAGCAGTATTCCAAATACTAGCCCCCCTTTTTTTAAATGGTTATTAAGTGTTTAATTGTATGAAGGCCCCCATAATTTGTTCCTATATCCTTTTAACTTTTTTAATATAGATTATGGTACAATATAAATCTTTGACCTATCTGTATTTTTTAGAGCTATATTCTTAGTGTAATTTAAATTTAATAGGTGAATATTATACATTAAAAATAATATTTTTGCTGAGAGAACTTTTTCTTTTTTAATCCACCTATATATCAAGTTTGCTGTGTTCTTTGGGTGCTTTCTAGTGTCCTCTCTATTATTGTAAACACTTACCTGCTTTCCTTTATAGTTTCATACATCCAAGTATGACGTATATTCCTAAACACTTTACTTTCAGCTTTTTTTCTCTTGTGCGACTTGGTGAAGAAACCTGGTTTTTACTGATTTCATCCTGTGGTGTAGTCTTAACATGTTCCTCTCATTTCTGTTTTTGTTAGTTGGTGATTAAATATAAAGGTGTGATCACAATCAGGTGTAATGGGGAGTGTGGCAGGACAGCTTCATGGGTAATGTTTTATTCTTTCAGGAGGCTGATGTCTGGCTATCTCTTACTCTTGTTATTTTACGAGATGTCTGTGCTGTGTTGAGATTGTTAATCTTTTAAAGATTGCAAAATAGTAATATTCTAATTGAGTTATTTCTTCTTGAGTAGAATACTTCTACAAAGACAAATAATCCCCCACTTGGTTACCAGTAGTATAGGCCACAGGCCACACGCATCACTGAAATCTGAGTTTTAGAACAGCTTCATCATCCCCAAATGATCACTTATACCTAAAGTCATTTCCCATTCCCCTCCAGCCCCAGGCAACCACAGGTATGCTTCCTATCTCTGTAGATTTGCCTTGCCTGGACATTTCAGGTAAATGGAATCATACAACATGTTGTCTGTCTTTTGGATCTGGTCCATTTCCCTTATCACACTGATTTTGAAGTTCATGAACATTGTAGCATGTCTTGTACTTCATTTCTTTTTAGTACTGAGTAGCATAGCACATTGTATGTGGTTTAATCAAGAGTATATTTGGTCTTTGTTCCTTGTTCTTAGCACAGAGCTCCAAAAACTCTTCAATTTCCTGTGTGTTATGCTAATGAGGCAACTCCTGTTGGCATTTGGATAACTTTTGGATGAAATGGATGTGAGTTTGAGTCAGCTCTGGCAGTTGGTGATGGACAGGGAAGCCTGGCGTACTGCAGTCCATGGGATCGCAAAGAGTCAGACACGACTGAGTGACTGAACTAACTGGACTGGATGAGATGGGGGCTGATCATTAGAAAGAAATGAGCACATGATTAGAGAATTAGAACTCTCAGCCTTTCAAGCTAGGAGTACTAGAAGGAGGTTGGAAATTGAGTTTAATCACATGCCCAATGATATAATTAATTGTACCTATGTAATGAAATCCTAATGAAAGCTGCAGACATTGACACTCAATGGAGCTTCTTGGTTGGTAAAGACATTGATGTACTGAGATGGTGATTCACCCTGATTGCACAAGGAGAAGATGCAGAAGCTCCCAGTCCTCACCTTATGTGTATCCTTTACAGTAAAACTGTAGTCAGAAGTATGGTGCTTTCCTGAATTCTATGAGTTAACTCAGTGAATTATTGAACCTGAGTGAGTCATGGAAACTCCAGAATTTGTAGTTAACCAGAAATGCTGGTGGCCTGGGGACTCTCAAGGTACAGAAGTACAGCTAATGTCTAAAGTGAGGGCAGTCATGTGAAAGACTAGGCTCTTAGCTTGTAGTGTCCGATGCTAACTCTAAGTACTTGGCATCAGAGTTGTATTGCAGGATACCCAGTTGAGGAGGGAGGAGTTATGTGGATACCCCATTATCTTTGTCCATTTACCATTTGATGGGCATTCGAATTGCTTCCACTTTGGACTATTATAAATAGTGAATATGTTGCTGTGAACATTTGCATATAAGCCTTTTTGTGGACATACTTCATTTCTCTTCGATATATACCTAGGAATGGAGTCTTAGTTGTGTGCTAAATTTGTGTTTAACTTTTAAAGAAGTTACCATACTATTACCCGAAGTGGCTGTGCCATTTTACATTCTTATCAGCATATATGAGGTTCCAGTTTCTCCACGTTCTTGCCAACACTTGATATTCTGTCTTTCTTCTTATTATTACTATAGTCATTCTGGTGTGTATAAAGTGAGATCTCGTTGTGGTTTTAACTTGACTAATGACCAATTATAGTGAGTGCCTTTTCATGTGCTTATTGACCACTCTTGTATCTTCTTTGGTGAAATGTCTGTTCAGATTTTTACCCTTTAAAAGATTATGTTGCTTTGAGTTCCTGTTGAGTTGTAGGAGTCCTTTGTATAGTCTAGATACTTTATCATATATATAACTTGTTAGTATTTCTTTTCAGTCTGTGGTTTGTCTTTTCCTCTTCTCATATGATTTTCTGAAGCCAGAAAATGTTAATTTTGATCAAATCTTATGCCAGTTTTTCATTTTGCCAATTTTTTTATATTAGAAATTTTTTTTGTCTAATCTAAGGTGATAAATATTTTTCCTTTGTTTTATCATAAGATTTTTATAGTTTCAGTCCTATGACCTATATATTTTGAGTTAATTTTTGAGTATGATGTGAAGTAGAGGCCTAAAAATGTTCATATTTTTGCCTGTGAATATCCAGTTATTCAGACACCATTTATTAGGAAGACTACTTTTCCCACTAAATTGCTCTGACACCTTTGTATGTATGGGCTATGTCTAGACTGTCACTTCTGTTCCATTGATTTATATATCTATCCTTATACCATACCAGTACTGCTTTGATACAGTAGTTTTGTATTGAGGTGTGAAATTGTGATGCTTTGTTCTGTTATAAGATAGTTTTGGCTCTTCTAGGTTATTTGCATTTCCATGTAAATTTTATTATCAATTTTTGTTGATTTCTGGGAAATAACTTGCTGGGATATAGAGTTTGTATTGATTCTGTTGATCAATTTGAAGAGAATTGTCATCTTTATGATATTGACTTTCTCTCCAGGAACATGAGTGTCTCTCCATTTATATCCATCTTTCCTTTTGCCATTTAGTGTTAATAGCATCACACACACACACACACACACATTTATATACAGCTTTCCTTTTGCCATTTAGCATTAATAGCATTACACACACATGCACACACACACATACATACACATGCATACCCCCTTTGCAATTTGGAACCAGCCTTATAATGTCTTTTGTCCCTTTCTTCTCTGCATCTCACCGCCTTCCATTTAAAAATTATTCTAATTTTGACTTGACTCTCTCAAAGTATTTAATTTTGTATCAGTAATTATATTTAATAAACTTTTCTAGATTATTTTATTTGCCCTCTTTTCTTATGTCTCACATAATTCTCTTACTTGGATTTGTTCATTTTGTCAAACCATTTTCCTTGAGCAGTTCTTTCAGAAGTGGTTTGTTATCAGATTTCTGAGAATATGCATGATGTAATACATATTTATTTTGCCATTTCATTGGGTTTGTTTTTAGACTGCCATATTCTAGAATTGAAATTTTTTTTCCTTCACATTTTTAAAGGTATATCTCTGTTTTTTGTCTTCTGTGTTGGCTGAAATGTTTGTTAACAATATGATTTGGGTTTTGTACATAAGATAGTTTTTGTCTTTGTAAACTTTTAGAATTTTTTTTGTTGGGTTTCTGAGAGTTTAGCACTATCTTAGTTTCTCTTTGTTTCATTTGCAGTCCTTTTGATCTAGATTTTTGACTTTATTCATTTCTGGAGGTTTTTGTTTGCTATTTATTTTTTCTTTTTCTTCTGGTCTATGTTCTCTCTTCCAGACTGCATTTAGCTAGATGTTGGAACTTTGCTAACTTTGCTCTGTTTTTCGTATCTGAATTCTTCAGTGACTTCAGAGAGAGAAAGTTACTCTGCTCAATTTTCTTGCTCTATAATTTTTCTCTTATCATTAGTTGTATGTTTAATGCCAAAGCTTCAGATTTTTTCCCATATCATCCTGTTGTTTACTTGATGTGACTTGTTATCCTTTTGAGGCTATTGGTTTTTATATTTTTAGAGCTGTTCTTAATTTGTCCTATTTAAGCATTTCCTTGACTGTTAACTTTCTGTTTCTTGAATTGCTTTGCTTCTATTTCATGATACTGGTTTCTCTCAATTGTTGATTCTTGTTGTTGTTCATTTGCCCAGTCCTGTCCAACTCTTTGTGATCCCATGGACAGCAGCACGCCAGGTCTCCCTGTCTCTTATCATTTCCTGGAGTTTGCCCAAGTTCATGTTCATTGCATCAGTGATGTCGTTCAGCCATCTCATCCTCTGACGCCCTCTTCTCCTGCCCTTGATCTTTCCCAACGTCAGGGACTTTCTAATGAGTTGTCTGTTCACATCAGATGACCAAAATACTGGAGCTTCAGCATCAGTCCTTCCAGTGAATATTCAGGGTTGATCTTCCTTAAGATTGACTGGTTTGATCTCCTTGCTGTCCAAAGGTCTTTGGGAGTCTTCTCCAGCACCACAGTCCAAAGGCATCAATTCTTTAGCTTTCTGCCTTCTTCACATTCCAGCTTCTCACAACCATACCTGACCACTGGAAAGACCATAGCCTTGACTTCATGGACCTTTTTCAGAAGTGTAATGTCTCTGCTTTTCAAAGCACTGTCTAGGTTTGTCATCGCTTTCCTGCCAAGAAACAACCGTCTTCTGATTTCATGGCTGCAGTCACCGTCCACAGTGATTTTAGAGCCCAAGAAGAGGAAATCTGTCACAACTTCCATCTTTTCCCCTTCTGTCTGTATGCCATGATCATAGTTTTTTGAATGTTGAGTTTTAAACCAGCTTTTTCACTCTCCTCTTTCACCCTCAGCAAGAGGCTCTTTAGTTCCTCTTCGCTTTCTGCCATTAGAGTGGTATCATCCACATATCTGAGGTTGTTGATGTTTCTCCTGCCTATCTTGATTCCAGCTTGCAACTCATCCAGCCTGGCATTTCTCATGATGTGCTCAGCCTGTAGGTCAAACAAACAGGATGTACCCCAGTGTTCATTGCAGCACTGTTTATAATAGCCAGGACATGGAAGCAACCTAGATGCCCATCAGCAGACAAATGAATAAGAAAGCTATGGTACATATACACAATGGGATATTACTCAGCCATTAAAAAGAATACATTTGAATCAGTTCTAATGAGATGGATTAACTGGAGCCCATTATACAGAGTGAAGCAAGCCAGAAAGATAAATACCAATACAGTATCCTAACGCATATATATGGAATTTAAAAAGATGGTAATGATAACTCTATTTGCAGGACAGAAAAAGAGACACAGATGTATAGAACAGACTTTTGAACTCTGTGGGAGAAGGCGAGGGTGGGATGAGCTGAGAGAATAGCATTGAAACATGTATATTATCTATAGTGAAACAGATCACCAGCCCAGGTTGGATGCATGAGACATGTGCTCGGGGCTGGTGCACTGGTAAGACCCAGAGGGATGGGGTGGGGAGGGAGGTGGGAGGGGGGAATCAGGATGGGGAACACATGTAAATCCATGGCTGATTCATGTCAATGTATGGCAAAAACCACTACAATATTGTAAATTAATTAGCCTCTAACTAATAAAAATAAATGAAAAAAAAAAAACCAAGATGACAGCAGACAGCCCTGTCATACTCTTTCTCGATCCTGAACCAATCAGTTGTTCCATACAGCATTCTAGCTGTTGCTTCTTGACCTGCAAACAAGTTTCTCAGAAGACAGGTAAGATGATCTGGTATTCCCATCTCTCTAAGAGCTTCCCACAGTTTGTCATGATCCATACAGTTAACAGCTTTATTTATTTATTTTTTTAATTAATTAATTCAGTTTTTTTTATTAGTTGGAGGCTAATTACTTTACAGTATTGTAGTGGTTTTTGTCATACATTGACATGAATCAGCCAGTTAACGGCTTTAGTGTAGTTGATGGAAACAGATATTTTCCTGAAATTCCCTTGCTATCTCTATAATACAGTGAATGCTGGCAATTTGATTTCTAGTTCCTCTTCCTTTTCTAAACCCAGTTTGGACATCTGGAAGTTCTTGGTTCGTGTAATACTTGCGTAATATCTAAGTATTTTAAGCATGACCTTCCTCGCATGGGAGATGAGTGCACTTGTCGGATGGTTAGCACAGCCTTTGGTACTACCCTTCTTGGGAATTGGGATGAGGATTTTCCAGTCCTGGGACCACTTCTGGGTCTTCTAGATTTGCTGACATAATGAATGAAAAACCTTGATGGCATCTTCCTTTAGGGATTTGAATAGTTCTGATGGAATTTCATCACATCCACTAGCTATATTACTAGCAATACATCGTAAGGCCCACTTGACTTTGCACTCTGTAATGTCTGGCTCTGGGTGACTAACCACACCATCGTAGTAATCCAGTTCATTAATATCTTTTTTATGCAGTTCTTCTGTGTATTATTTCCATCTCTTCTTAATCTCTTCAGCATCTACTAGGTCTCTACTACCTTTATCCTTTATTGTGCCCTTCTTTGGGTGGAATGCTCCCTTGATGTTTCCAGTTTTCCTGAAGATATCTCTAGTCTTTTCCCTTTTGTTGTTTTTGTCTTGTTAAGCATTGTTCATTGAAGAAGGCCTTCTTGTCTCTTCTAGCTATTTTTTGGAACTCTTTGTTTTGTTGAATGTACCTTTTCCTGTCTCCCTTGCTTTTTGCTTTTCCTCATTCTTCTACTGTTTGTAAAACCTCCTCAGATAACTAGATTCTTGTTTTTGTTCTTTTTCCCGTTTGTGGAAATCTTTTCTGTCTATGATGTGTGCTTTCAGGAAGGGGTGGGACATGTTGTTGGGTGGAATGTACAGAAACCTTTCCTTCTGAATTTGTGGTTTCTCGTCTCTCCTGGGAGTCAGGACCAATCTTAGGTGCCTTGTTACTAGTTCTCGTGCTAATAATATTAGTCCTATTCTCACCTGATTTATTAGGAGACCCTGGTAACTACCCCCCAGCAAATCCCCTAGCTTGGTGTGCTTTTTCTCAGGTCCCAGTGCCACTGCTTTAGTTTGAGTGCAGTTAACACTGCCAATTGCTATTGATTATGAACAAGATGATGGGGAAAGGAAGGGAGAAGGCCCTGTCCCAGATGTGGCTACAAATTACTCTTCCCAGTGGTATGGGACTTATTCCCTCTTCTGGTATCTATTGAATCTGGTATCTTAGGTGTTTCTAAACTGCCTGCTCAGCTCTCTGCTTTGTGAGTTATGTGCAGGAATCTATTTGCAGAAAGTTGGGCTATTTTATTATGGATTCTTTTGTCATCACCTTTTATATTCCTCTTTCTTATTCTGTTTCTCTTTTAAAATATGTCTATTTAAATAGATTCCTGTATTCTCCAAGAGGGAAAATGATACATTTATGCATATTTTGTTATTTAAGCATGAAGAAGATATCCGTATAATAGTTTTATCCAATAACTGGTTCTCCATTAAAGATATCCAAATCTAAAGTCAAAGATTTCATAAAGTTTAACTCTGTGTTGGTTTTACAGTAATTTGTCTTTTTCAATAGCAGTATTGATTTTGGGATTTTTTTCTGTTAACAGTTCTAGTTTTCTTTTTTCCTTTTTTAATATTTTTATTTATTTATTTGGTTGCACTGGGTCTTAGTTGTGGCATGTGGGATCTAGGTCCCTGACCAGAGATCGAACCCAGGCTCCCTGCATTGGGAGCGCAGAGTCTGAGCCACTGGACCACCAGGGAAGTCCCTCTTTTCTTTTTTTAAACTTTTTTTCCTTCTTGTTTTGTTTTCCAGCTCTTTTGTGCCTTTCAAGATGATAAGTATCTGTACATGGTAATGGAGTACATGCCTGGTGGAGACCTTGTAAACCTTATGAGTAACTATGATGTACCTGAAAAATGGGCCAAATTTTATACTGCTGAAGTTGTTCTTGCTTTGGATGCCATACACTCCATGGGTTTAATTCACAGAGATGTGAAGCCTGACAACATGCTCTTGGATAAACATGGACATCTAAAATTAGCAGATTTTGGCACATGTATGAAGATGGATGAAGTAAGTAATAAGCGAGTTTTGTGTTTTTTTTAATGCTAGTTTTTTTAAGAGACAAAAAGAAAACAATATATCTAGACTTCATAATTTAAAAAATATATAAATTTAGTTTTACTAACTATGTAATGACTCAAGCAAGGTAGTAAAATATCTAAATCAAAACATTTCCTTTACTAAATCATTCATCTAGTTGTAGAATACTTTGTAGATTTGGTGAATCCAAGAGAAATAAGAACTCAGATAAGTAATCATCTTCCTCATAGCACTTTGACAAACATTTGCTACCAGTCAAAACTAGTTCATGTTTATAATGATCTCTATGTAAGTGTGCTATAATTCCTGGCAGTAATTCATTCCTGATTGGGAGAGATCATGTTTTATTTCTATGTATTCTTGTTAGTTATCTTGTCAAGACTTTTATTTTGAATTAAGCTGATTTCCTTTTCTCTTTACTTCTCAACTTATTTATGCCAACTATTTGATATTCACTTTTATTGATTGTCATCAGTGATCCATTTTCTTCAAGCTCAGCTCTGATTTTTTTACCTCATGTAGAAAGTTTTCTCTGATAATGCTAACATGACTGATTACTCTCTGTCATAATGTCCATAATGTTACTCACTTAGAATTCATGCTGTACTTCGCAGGGCACTTTTTTCTATCTAGGTTTGTATGCCCTGTCTACCCAGCTAAAATGTAACATCTCTTGGGTTCTCTGGTCCTCTTCATAGAGTATTACTATGTTTGTGTTCTGCATATACTAATCAATGTTTAGTAGGTGGACCAAAGCTCCCTCTTGTGGTGGTTATCAAAATGTAGTATAAAGTGATTACCAGTGAAAATGATCTTTAATGAAAATGAAGTAATTTTCTAACAGAATACTAAACTTTTTAATGTCTGTTATACATAACAAATGATATTTATGTGTTGCACTTCCATGAGTGTGCTCTGATTTTCATTAAACCAAGAACCTTTGGGAGGGTGCAGAGAAATCACACCATGTGTTTTTAGGATGGGTAAAGGTGGTTAAGGAAAGAAAGATGTTGAATATGCAAGTATGGAACAGGTCAGAATATGGTGTTTAAAAAATTATTTTACAAGCATGTAAGTAAATACTAAATTCAGCTGTTTAAATATCTTAAATTGTCTCTATAGGGCAAAATAAAATATGGTGTATATAATTTTGTTTACTATTTTTAATAGTACATGTAGTTAATTATGTTCCTCAGCTCACAACTTATTGTATTAGTTATCCACACAAAGACCTCATTTGGTTTTTTTTTTTCCAATTATGTTTTCCCCCTTTCAGTTGTTTTTATTTTATTCTCTTTCTCTAATACATAGCCATTGTAATGTGTTTACCATAAGCTCTTATAGGCTATTAGTATAGTAAGAGGTAACAAGAATACACAGAAGAACTATACCAAAAAGATCTTAATGACTAGGGTAACCACGATAGTGTGGTCACTCACCTAGAGCCAGGCATCCTGGAGTGTGAAGTCAAGCAGGCCTTAGGAAGCGCTACTACAAACAAAGCTACTGGAGGTGATGGAATTCCAGCTGAGTTATTTAAAATCCTAAACGATATTGCTGTTAAAGTGCTGCACTCAGTATGTCAGCAAATTTGAAAGACTCAGCAGTAGCTGCAGGACTGGAAAAGGTCAGTTTTCATTCCAATCCCAAAGAAGGACAATGCCAAAGAATGTTCAGACTGCTAGGAAATTGCACTCATTTCAAATGCTAGCAAGGTTATGCTCAAAATCCTGCAAGCTAGGCTTTAGCATTGTGTGAACCGAGAGCTTACAGATGTGAAAGCCAAAGTTGCTCAGTCGTGTCTGACTCTTTGCGACCCCATGGACTGTAGCCCACCAGGCTCCTCTGTCCAGGGAATTCTCCAGGCAGGAATACTGAAGTGGGTTGCCACTCTCTTCTCCAGTGGATCTTCCCAACCCAGGGATTGAACCAGTCTCCTGCATTGCAGGCAGATTCTTTACCATCGGAGCCACCAGGGAAGCCCTCTAGATGTATAGGCTGGGTTTAGAAAAGGCAGAAGAACCAGAGATCAAATTGCCAACATTCATTGGATCATAGAGAAGGCAAGGGAATTCCAGAAAAACATCTACTTCTGCTTCAATGACTATGCTAAATCCTCTGACCATTTTTTTGTTGTCAGTAAATCTTTCCACTTATGACATTTGTCAGTTATGAAACACTAGATGTGTCCAGCAAACACACATTATCTGATCCATGTAAGATAAAGTACTTTTGAAGAAGCTTTTGAAAATGCATATCTGTTTATGTTTCTTTCAAACTTGAAACCCTTTAGTAGATTTCTATCATTTATTAAAGAAAGTTGAAACTCCTTACCTAGTTACCTGAAGCCTCCTCTTAAGGTGATATAATCCCTGCCTAGTGTTTCACCTTCATTCTCTATCATTTGTTCTCTTGTACCTTGTGTTTCAGAGGTCTTAAATAGTTTCTTTTATACCCATGGTATTTCATGATTCCTGGCTTTTATATAAGGTTGGTGCAAAAGCAATTGCCATTTTTCTTTGTTGAACTTTGCCAGTTGATATTGGAATACGTAAATAACTGTGGTTGTGTTATACATCATTTTAATGCTCATTTCTCGCTTTATGTATTTTTGCTAATGACTTATTACTAGCTGTGTATTTTATGTTTATTTTAAACTATGGAAATGAAGTTAGACAAAAGGCAAATTCAAGTGATTTTCTTATTTGAGTTTAAAATGGGTTGTAAAGCAGTGGAGACAACTTGCAACATCAACAACACATTTGGGCCAGGAGCTGCTAACAGATATACAGTGGTGGTTCAAGAAATTTTGCAAAGGAGACAAGTGCCTTGAAGATGAGGAGCACAGTGGCCAGCCATTGGAAGTTGACAGCGACCAATTGAGAGCCATCATTGAAGCTGATCCACTTTAACAACTACACAAAAAGTTGCCGAAGAACTCAATGTCAGCTATTCTACCATCGTTTGGCACTTGAAGCAAATTGGAAAGGTGAAAAGCTCGCTAGGTGTGTGCCTTGTAAGCTGACCACAAATCAGAAAAAATTGTCATTTGAAGTGTCATCTCTTATTCTACACAACTGCAATGAACCATTTTGCAATCAGATTATAATGTGCAATGAAAAATGGATTTTATACAATTGGCAATGACCACATCGTCGTTGGACTGAGAAGAAGCTCCAGCGAACTTCCCAAAGCCAAACTTGGACCAGAAAAAGGTTGTGCTCACTGTTTGGTGGTCTTCTGTCTGTCTGATCCACTAGAGCTTTCTGAATCCTGATGAAATCATTACATCTGAGAAGTATGCTCAGCAAATCAATAAGATACACTGAAAACTGCAGTACCTGCAGCCAGCATTGGTCAACAGAAGGGGCCCAGTTCTTCTCCACAACAACGCCCAATTGCATGTCACACAATCAATGCTTCAAAAGTTGAACAAATTGGACTACTAAGTTTTGCCTCATCCACCGTATTCACCTGACCTCTCGCCAACTGACTACCACTTCTTCAAGCATCTCGACAACTTTTTGTAGGGAAAATGCTTCCATAACCAGCAGGAGGCAGAAAATGCTTTCCAAAAGATCATGATTCACAAGGCATGCATTTTTATGCTACAGATATAAACAAACTTAATTCTTGCTGGCAAAAATGTGTTGATTATAATGGGTCCTGTTTTGATTAATAAAGATGTGTTTGAGTGTACTTATGATGCTTTAAAATTTATGATTCAAAACTGCTATTACAGTTATACCAATCTAATACATTCTATTGAATACACTCTGCTTGGCAAGTTCCTACTCACACTTTGAAACTCAGTTCAAAGTTTGCTTATCTTGTGAAGTCTTTTAAGTTGGCTCCTCTAGCTTTTTAACATGTACCCTCTAGGGAGCATTTTCTTTTCTTTTTCTTTCTTTGTACTGTAAGTTGTTGAACACTATTTTGTATTTTCTGTGTTCCAGCCTTGAAAACAAACACTTCTCAAAGAAGATCTAATTCCTTTTATTCAAGAATGGTATTTAAAAATCAGTATTTGGGTGTTAGATGTATTCATTGCTTTTGGAGTGTCATTACTTCTAGACCCTGTTAGTGGTCATGTGTATATTGTATATACTATACTAACTCACATGCACATACATGTTCATATTTAATTCTGTACTTACTAGTCTGTATATGAAGTATATTAAAAATCATGAGTTCATATGATACTTCTGATTCTAGTTTTATGGCACAGGATTCATTCTAGTCTTCCTCCTTTCTTTTTTGTATTTACTTTTTTGGATAGTGAGAAACCTGGCTCTCATTATATATACTCCCAACTGTTTTCCAAGGTAACCTAGGTCTGTTCTTTTCCTCTCTACCTTCTTTGGTGTGGTTATGTTATTAATTTATGAAACAGGTCCGTTTCTTACTGTTGGTGTTCCATTTAGAATTGTCCCACATCTGGTTGATTTTACTTATTTATTTTTTGGATATGTGAAGCATTCCTCTGGTTTAAGAGTCAGAACTGTACAAATTACATCCTCAGAGAAGGATCACCTGCCCCCTCCTTATCCCACCACCTCATTCCTGTACTGTACTTGCTTCTTTCTACCCTTTTCCTACTCACCCCCTGTAGGTAAACCAGTCTCTTAGTTTGTGGTTTATCCTTCCTGTATTTCTTTAGAAGAGAATCAGAGATTTGTTGTAAATATAAAGTTTATATTTGTGTAATTTGAGAATTCCCCATGAGATAGTTTTTAAGTGCATGTGTGCTTAGTCACTTCACTCATGTCCAACTCTTTGCAACGCCATGGACTGTAGCCCACCAGGCTCCTCTGTCCATGGGATTTCCCAAGCAAGAATACTGGAGTGGGTAGTCATTTCCTACTCCAAGATTTTCCCGATCCAGGGATCTAACTCACCTTTGTGTGGGCAGGCGGGTGCTTTACCACTAGTGCCACCATCTTTCCCAAATATTTATTTAAAAAAACTTTTTTAACCCTCAACATGCTTGCCAGAGCATGCCACCATCAACCAAAGATGGTGGTTGAAATATTAAGTTTTCGAAAACAGGGTACCAGCAGCATAGTCTACTGTGCAAAAATTATTTAGTCCCAGCAGAGTGTTTCTTTTCTACAAATAAGCAGTTATTCAAACTGACCTCCATCTTTCCTTTTCCAGCTTCATCATGTGAAGTTTTACATTTAGCTGATTTGGCCTTTACTGCATTTCTTGAACTTTATATAAAGTCATTCTTGTCCCTTTGTTTTTGCTCTTTTTTCCTAAGCTGCCATACCAACTCTCATTCCTTTGAAGCCTAACTTGTTTGCCAGTTCTTTTCTTATCCTTTTCTTCCTCTGAATCTTTGAATGCTAAACAAATTTTCTTTTAGTGGCACTTTTGTGTCTGGCCAGGTTTTAGCTATTTAAGTGTCACGAGATTCATTTTTTGGAAGTCGTAACTTACATGGATAAATGTGAAATGAAGAGATTTTTATGTACCCTAGTAAGTCTTTATGAATTTTTCCTTCAGTAGAAGTAAAAAAAAAAAGGGGGGTCAAATATAAGGTAGTTAATGATAAAAATTAATTTTATATCCTGGTTTTTGTAGTCAGGCATTGTCATCTTCATTTTTTATCCTAAATAATAACCCATGCAGCGTATTGCCATCATAATTTGCTCAATTATTTCCAAATTTTTTATTTTATTTATATTTAAACTCAAATGACCTCTGTTTGCTGTATACTTGGGAAAATAAAATCATTGAGTTATTTTTGCTGATTTTTGAGGAATGAAAAGATTGCTTTTGAAACTTAACTTCCCATATATGATGTTTTATTGCATTTAAATAAAAGCATTTATGTAAGTCATGTTTATAAAATACACTGAACTTTCTTTTTCCAAGGTGGTCATAGTACTTAGTAGTTTGCTAGTTTATATAGCTTACTTATTAGGAATAAACTTATTAGGTGACACACTTTTTAAATTAGGTAGATAGAGAAAATGAAAGGCATGTAACTTAATCTGTGAAGTTTTTCCATGTTTGTACATAGCTGGAAGTAAATGGGTATTAGTTAGCACCACACTACTCTATACTGTTGTGATTTAATCTTGCAGCATACACCGACAGACAGACACATACACACACACACACACACACACACACACACACACATGCTATAAAATAAACACACACATAGATATTATCTACAGTGGTTCTTGTCAGAAAGACATCAGATAGGGATTATCTTATTTCCTACAGAAACTAAACACAGAAAAGAGTGTTTTTATCATTTTGCCAAATACCTTGATGCCACAGCTCCACATTTCTAAACATGCAGCTTTGAGGTATATCTTTCAAACAATTAAGATCTTTTGATTTAAATAGTTGGTCTGTTTCTGGCATTTTTTTCTTGGTATAATAATACCAAGAAGAATGGGTGAACTAATACCCATTTCTTTATCCAGCCTCCAGAGGTGAGGCCTTTGCAGTTTTAATCACTTCAGTTTCTTTGGAAATATTAAAGCTTCCTTTCATGATTCTTTTCTTTTCCCCAGGTCAGGTGCATTAAGACCACATTTTGTACTTCTCTTGTTAACTCCTTAATAGTGTAAGAAAGAGACGATGTTGATTTGCATGAAATTCCCATGAAGTTAGCCACCTTTTCCTTCTTTCATTGATGAAGCCTCTAGTATTTTAGAGTTGGAAAATTATCACTGATCTCCCATAATCCAGACATTTTTCTGCATTTCATAATGCGTCTATCCTCTGTCCTCCCAAAACCATGTCAGCAGTGAAGATCTGTTGGTAGCAGTGGGTAGTCACTGTATAAATAATAATAAATGGATTAGTTTTGCTTATATGTGTGTATTTTTACTCACATTTTATATACATCTTTTCTCCTCTCTCTGCACTTTACCTAGACAGGCATGGTGCACTGTGATACAGCAGTTGGAACACCTGATTATATATCACCTGAGGTCCTGAAATCACAAGGGGGTGATGGTTATTATGGGCGAGAATGTGATTGGTGGTCCGTGGGTGTTTTCCTTTTTGAGATGCTGGTGGGTAAGTAAACTGGGATCTTTTTTTAAAACCTCTCTGATAACACTTTAGTTCTAAGTAAAAAATGTGAGATTATAAAAAAGTTAATTGCTTGTGTTCTAAGGAGAAAGTAGAATTTCTTTAAACCTTTGAATTGATAGTGTCTATGACAGAGTTGATTGGAAAATTAAAACGAAGCCTCATGCTGGTACAATAATTGAGTAGATTATGAAAGGAATTGAAAGTCTACTGCTAGGAAATAGTCCTTTCGTAGACCTTTTTGATTAAGAAAATACTAGAACAAGAAGCAAATTTACAGCTGCAGTGGACCTTCATTCTAAGATTTTCTTTTTTTTTTTTTTTTCATTTATTTTTATTAATCGGAGGCTAATTACTTCACAACATTTCAGTGGGTTTTGTCATACATTGACATGAATCAGCCATGGAGTTACATGTATTCCCCATCCCCATCCCCCCTCTCACCTCCCTCTCCACCCGATTCCTCTGGGTCTTCCCAGTGTACCAGGCCCGAGCACTTGTCTCATGCATCCCACCTGGGCTGGTGATCTGTTTCACTATAGATAATATACATGCTGNGTCTGGAGCATTCTATGGACAGAGGAGCCTGGCAGGCTACAGTCCAGGGAGTCACAAAGAGTTGGACACAACTGACTGACTAACACACTTCTGCCCATAGATCCATTTACCCTGTAACTGAGTTAAATTCTCCCCAGATTTACACATTAAAAATTCTGTCAGTTTTATTCACTTATTTTTGCTGTAAATATTCATCTTTAGTGTCTTTGTCATATTTAGAGAGTAGACAGATGAGATTATATCTGAACTTGTTAACCATTGGCCATATTAAAACAGATATTACCAACACTGTACTTAACAGTATAAAGTAAGATGGTAGAGACTCTTCCACTGCAGTCAGGGGCAAGACAAGAATGGTAGCGTTATCACTATTACAGGCATTTCCACAAAAGAATAAATTTTCAAAAGAATAATTAGATAAAACATGACTAGTTAATTAGGGAACACAGTTTGTACCATGTACCACTAAAGTTATAACAAAATCTCCATTTTCAATACAGTAAGTCTCTTACATATTAATGAGCTCCATTCCAACAGTGTGGTTGTTAATTCCAATTTGTTCATAAGTCCACTGAAGTTAGCCTAAGTATCCAACTAACACTGTCAGCTACATAGCTATATACTACTATAATGTATAATTTTATAATACTTTTCACACAAATAGTACCTAAAAACAAAAAGTATTTCCATACAAATTGTGAAATTATTTGTTCTAGTTCTGTGAAAAATACCGTTGGTAGCTTGATAGGGATTACATTGAATCTATAGATTGCTTTGGGTAGAATAGCCATTTTGATAATATTGATTCTTCCAATCCATGAACATGGTATGTTTCTCCATCTGTTTGTGTCCTCTTTGATTAATAGTATTCTGTTGTAAATAGGGAACTGAAAGTATTCAGTTTATGTAATTATGTTATGTAATTAGTTTTTGTAAACTGTGTTTCTTGTATTTGCTCTTGTATATATATTTGGTTTGTAATTCCAGTCAAATATTGCTATTGACCATTTGACTATCAAGATAAATATATTTTATAATAGTGTTTCAATCTCAGAAAACTCAGAGACAAGTTAAATAATTTCTTTTACTTTGGCCACATCAAAATTTGAAATGCTCAGATATTTCAAAACTCTTCTTTACAACATAGATTTCAATTTTAAGATTTCCTCCTCCTAAGTACTAGAGTCACAAAAATATCTTCTGGCCAAGTAAACCAGTGGCTTTAGGGTGAGGGGTGAAAGTTGCTCAGTTGTGTCCAACTCTTTGCAACTCCGTGGTCTATACAGTCCATGGAATTCTCCAAGCCAGAATACTGGAGTGAGTACCCTTCCCCTTCTCCAGGGTATCTTCCCAACTCAGGGATCAAACCCAGGTCTCCCACATTGCAGTCGGATTCTTTACCAGCTGAACCACAAGGGAAACCTAAGAATACTGGAGTGGGTAGCCTGTCCCTTCTCCAGCAGGTCTTGCCAACCCAGGAATTGAACCGGTGTCTCCTGCATTGCAGGCGGATTCTTTACCAACTGACCTATGAGGGCAGCCCAGGGAAGATATAGCAAAGTCTAATTTATGAGGCAAATGTGTTAAGGCTGATAACATTATAAGAATTTAGAGTGAATTAGTGTTACAACTTGGAGAATTTCTTTTCTGTGACTCTGAAAGAAATTGGTGGTGAAAATCTGTAAAATCTGTATAATGATTGAATATGGTTATTGCTTAAAACAACAACAACAACAAAAAAAACCCCTCAGTACAAAATTAGGTAACCCTTTCTCCTAAAACTTTTTGTAGTTAAAATGCCTTCTCTTGATGACCATGTGTGTACATGTAGTGTTGACCTTGCTGTGCTAAGTATCATGTCCTGCTGTGACTTGCTTTGTTCTGGGCCTTTGTCATTGCAGTGGGTCTCTTTGTACATACTGTATTCTCTTAGGTAGCTGTCTGTTCTCCCTATGTCTGGGCCCTGTCTGATGATTATTGGGTGTGTTTTGTAGTATTTTGAAAGTGGAATATATTCCATCATTTGCCTAGACTCTCCCAGAGTTTTAAAAAATAATATACTTTGGAGGAAGTCACCTGGGTTTTTTGAAGAGAACCATTTATACACATGCTACCGTTTTCAGCTCTGAGAGCTGAATTTAATGAGTTTGAATGGCACTGATATGCAGTATTCTGAGCATACTCTGGTGCTCACTCATCAGGTTGGTTGGCACTAGACTTCACTTCAAAGAGTCTACTGCAGTAAAAAATCACACTAGAAAAATCTTGAATTCTAAACTCTCCTCTGCTACCCTTGGAAAACAAAAACTATCTGAGCACTTCTTTTTGGCTGACTTGGGGAAGTCTGGTTTGTACTAAGGTGATTTGAACCACACTGGCAGGGCCTTTAACTCTTAGAATTTGAGTACTGGCCAAAATGATGCTGTGAACTTTTTCGAAAGTCTTTATACTCATTTCAGTGCCTCTTTATCACAGTCATCATTTGGCAGGAACACTGTATTTGGAGAATGATTCTGCCATTTTCAGTTCTAGCTGTGTGTCCTCGTAGGCAAATCATGTCATCTATCTGGGCCTGGCTTCCTTGTATGTAGAATAATGAGGCTGATCTGACTCTTAGAGCTGCATTGTCCAGGCTATTATGATGAAAGTGGCTTATGTCTGCACTGTTTAGTATGGTGGGGACCTGCCGTGTTGGGCTTTTGAAATACAGCTAATGTGACTAGGGAAATGCAATTTTTTATTTTATTTCATTTTAATTAATTTAAAGTGCCACTTGTGGTTGGTGACTACTGTATTGTATAACAAAAGGTTTGATTTAGCTGAAGCATTAGAAGGCTGTAACTGATCTGATCACACTTAGTAATCTGTTAAATTATCCAGTAAATTGATTTTTTTCTCATTATATATTTCCCAACACATTGTACAGTTAGTATTGATTTTATTTTTATTTTAAAAGTTACAGACTTATTGGTATGGTTAAAACTTAAATATATTCTTGGTGTGTACATGTTTGTTTGACTGAGATTCCTGTCCCATAGACATTTCCTTCTTACATGCATGCAATGAATCTAAACATATTTGGTAAAAAATGTTTAACTTGCATTCTCTGTTACACTCTGTGTCTTCTTTCTTGGTACTTTAGGGGATACTCCATTTTATGCAGATTCACTTGTAGGAACATACAGCAAAATTATGGATCATAAAAACTCACTGTGTTTCCCTGAAGATGCAGAAATTTCTAAACATGCGAAGAATCTCATCTGTGCCTTCTTAACGGATAGGTAATATACATTAAATTTCTTTATAGAGATTTCTTTGTAGAGAATCCTTGTAGCTTTTAGACTTGTAGAAGTGAAAGCTTACTTAACTCTTATATATACACATATAAAATCAGTCTTTTTATCCAACTTGCATTTAATTCTGGTTTAGCCTTTTCCTACTGCTTAGCCTGGGATTGGGTTACCATTGTCATTTTGTATGTGCAGCCTGATGGTGATCCAACTCTGATCTTAACCCTCATATCTAAAAAGAAAACTTGATAAAATAGTGCATCTGAGAGAAAAGAAAGCTTTTGTGTTTTTCACATTTTATCCTTTAAAATGATTGAGCCATATTGCTTTTGAGTGTACAGCTTTTGAGAGGAGAACATTTTGTGCAGATAAATACTCAAAAGTTAATAATCTTAAAAACTGTGTCTGACTTTGCACTGCCTCCTTCCCAGCCCCTTTTAATTTGCATTTGAATATAAGCAAGTCCATCCTGAAAATTCTATATTTCTTAAAATAGATGAACATTATTGTGAAAACCTGCCTTAAAAAAAGAGAAGCCTGGAAAGCTCCTTGAAGTGTCTCCCTTGCCCTCTCTATTTTCTGGTTTCCCACTTTACGTTTGTGATAGGAGTCATCCTGTCAAAGGGCCAACGCATACAAGTGGGTGCTTCCACCTTAGACCAGACTTAATGATTTTAGGGAAATTATTTTACTTTCTGGAGAAATAATTTTACTCATTCTAAATATGATGGGATCAGATTTAGATGATAACTGAGGACATTTCTTGCTCAGTGATGCTGTCTTCCTGAGCACGCCTTATTGTTTGTTTGCCAGTTGCTGTTACAAGCAGTACTATAGTGACCATTCTCATACATTTCTCTTTGCATACTTTTTGTAGGATAAAATCTTAAAGATGGATTTCTGGGCTATACATTTTAAAATTGACCTACTTGAGTTGCAGATTTGACCCCCAGAAATGTCACATGGGGTATATTCCATTATTAAGAACTGTTTCCCTGATTCTTGTCAAACTAAGTACTATGAATTGTTTATTTTTCCGTACAAAGCAGAAAATTATATTTTTCCTCATTACTTTAATATTTTTCATTTATTTATCAATCATTTGTAAAATAAAACTTTGTTAATTATGTAATTAATGAACACTTCATGGTGATAAACTTAAAATAAATTTTACATAATATTTGCTTTGAGGACTAAGTGGAGTTGATAGAAATGATTATAATTTGTGCTGAAAGGTAAAATATAAAACAGGATATATAGCATGTGTTAATGAGAGGAGTACCATTCATGAAAGACTAGCCTTAGTGATTTATGGTCGGTGGTAGTTGCAATCTAAAGAATGATTGTAGGTGGAGAAAAGATAGTTTGAGAAGAATTTAATGCCACTAGTGTGGCTAGGAGTACTTCCTTCTATAAACTTTACACATTTTCTTATTTGTGTTAAACATAGCTCCAGGGGCATAATTGCTTATTATTTCCACATAGTCTTCATTGAAGACTCAAAAAGTCAAAGAATGAAATTATTAGCAACATTTTTCTTGTATTCATATTGACAGTTTTAATATAAATGCAATACATATTTATATTTAACTTACATTTAATATAGATGTAGATCTATCCAGAGTGAATATGGATAACTTCAATCACAATATGTGAGTTCTTATTAAGAAGGGGGGAGGATTTTTTTAAATAACATTTTTATTATAGAGGTTTTTAAAAAATTCTTCTGAGCCAGCAATTAGATCTCCATTCATTTTATGCCCTAAGATTGGTCATATGATTTTGGCGCATGCCAGTGACTTTTTTAATTGAAAGCCTCCTCTACTTTCATTTGAGGCAAAGTACAAATAGAAACATAATTTCTTTTCCAAGACATTCATTATTTAGAGAGATCACATGCTGTAAAATTAGATTGCTTATTTTTGAGCAGTATTTAAGCTGAAGCTTTTCCATTTTTTTAAACTCATTTCTGATCCTTATTCTGATCCTCGTTGAGATAAGAGTATTTTTGTATTTTTATAATCTTACTCTTTATAACAGAATGTTTAATTGCATTATTTAGGGAGGTACGCCTTGGAAGAAATGGGGTCGAAGAAATCAAACAACATCCTTTCTTTAAGAATGATCAGTGGAATTGGGATAACATAAGAGAGAGTAAGTCAATAAATTTAAATATTTCCATTTCATCACATTTTAAATCTCATAGATTGAATCCTTTTCTGATTTAAAAAGCATGTCTGGTACTCTTAACAGTAATTTTTAAATTGAGAGATTTTATTTCAGTTCATTTTGAAGCTGTGTAACTAAATCTTATTTCAGTATCTTAGCAAACTATTATGTTTTTATTTCCCAGTGCTTTTATGATAAACATTATAGGTTTCTTAATTTGTCAAGCTGTTATATGGATCTCAATAATTTTCAGAATTGGGAAAATATAATTCTTTAATTCATATGTTTGAATTAATAAATCAATAATTAGTTACTTATGGAGAGTACTCTGGTGAATACTAGGGTAAACATAGTAGTTCATTTAAACTTCATGTATATTTACATTAATTCATTTTAAGAGCCAGAAATATTTCTACTTAAAGATGTAGTAGAAAACTTCTGAAAACTAAAGAATGTATGTGCAAGTTAAACAGTGTGTTTCTTTTCTTTTAATAGCTGCAGCTCCTGTGGTACCTGAACTCAGCAGTGACATAGACAGCAGCAATTTTGATGACATTGAAGATGATAAAGGAGATGTAGAAACCTTCCCAATTCCTAAGGCTTTTGTGGGAAATCAGCTACCTTTTATAGGATTTACCTACTACAGAGAAAATTTGTATGTGGTTTGTTTGTTATATTTTTATTGTTTTCAACATTTAGCTGTAAAGAGTTGTCTTACTTCAGGACTCTGAATTATAGAAGATAATGTGTTAATTTGTTTCAAACTGAGATTTTTTTTTTGAAGAATATTATATATAATATTCATTTACAAATGAATGTAAGGCAGTGTTGTGTGTTTGAAGACAGAACACCTGCTTTTGAGGGAGTCTGTCAACTGTTAAGGGACATAGGAGAATTATATAGTCATAATGAAGGGTAGAATGTGATATGAGCCTTAAGAAAGGTACCAAGAAGATCTGAGAATCATAATTCTTGTGATTTCAGAAGAAAAATAAAAGTCACATCTCTTTGGGGCTAGTGTAGGGGGAAGTCAGGTAAGACCTCAAGGAAGAGATAGCATTTTAACCAAGTCTAAAGGTAAGAAAGGGTTTTGAGTAGCTGAGATGTAGGGAGGTTAGGTGAGTGTGGTGGGGAGGTGAATAGTGGAAGCAAAACTTTGGAATTTTAGCATACACTGGGAGCAGAGCAATATAGTCCAGTAGGTTTCAAACATGGTATATATCACTGTATTATAACCATTTGGATAATTTAATGGGACTGTGATTTTCTTGCCTGTAATACTTTCATCTAGTGCAGAGCCTGGCATAAGATCATTCAATAAATATTGCTCAACTGGAGCGAGTATTGGGTATAAGATTAGAAAAAGACTGGAGTTAGAGTGTGAGGGAAGCTTGATGGAACAGATGATTGCTGTGTATTATGCTAAGGGACTTTCGACTTTGACAGGAAGTGAAGAGCTGCTGAAAACTGTTTAGTAGTTAAATGAAGTGTTAAAGACATTTGAGAAATTTTTGATACTTCATGTTTGTAATGGTTGGGGCGATCAACTGTTATGGTTTGCCCAGGACTAAGGGGTTTCCTGGGATGTGCTATGGGGCTTTCATGCTAAAATTAGGAAAATGAGCGCAAACCAAGATGAGTTGTTCATCCTCTTAAAGATAAGGTTCTGAAAACTGCTGTAACGCTGACAAAAGTGAAGACATCTGTGCAGGAGAAATCCAGGCATGTTCATACACAGCAAGGAATGACCCAGTTGAGAGAAATTGACAGTTATATAGAAGTGATGATTTATGTATTAAGACCAGGAGATCAAGAGATGTTGTCTTTGAAAAAGAGGAGAGATGTCTCCTTTCAGAATGTTTCTAGAAAAGAAGAATAAAATAGGAACTCAAAATGAGGCAAAGAGGGGGAAAAATATAGTTCTGTTTAGTGAGTCCAGTCTCAACAGTGTTAAAGACTAGAACATCGGCTTAAGAGTGAGAAGCAAGAAATAGCATTTTAAATTATTGAAAACAGTATAAATGTCAAGGGGGGGAAATAGTAAGTACTTCACTTAAAACATGTTGAAAGTGAAAAGATAATTTAATTCTGAGGATAACTTTATATCAGAAAATGAGTTAAAATGGCATGCAAAAGAATTTCCTGCCTTTCCTTCTAGGTTACTAAGTGACTCTCCATCTTGTAAAGAAAATGACTCAATACAATCAAGGAAGAATGAAGTATGTGTAAATTTTTACTACTCTATTTTAATCACATGTTCAAATATTTTAGTAATATCCGTGTATTTTAAAAGTTCACTTGATGTTACTTTTAGATGGCATTCCTTGTTGCAGTCCAGATCAGTATAACACTGAAGTGATTCATTTATTTGACGAGTATTATCGTATGAGATCCAATGGCTAGTAAAAAGATGAGTTACATGACTTTAGGCTTAGTTTCATTACAAAAGTGATAGAATATGTTATAAACAGCTGTATTTCCTACCAGTTAGAAAATTTTGTAATCTTAGCACTATATATGAGTATAGATAGTAAGCTATAAGAATACAGAAATAGTGGATAGATTTAAATTTTGAGTATTTAGCAATGAATTGATATAAAGGATAATTTTATCAAAATGTTACAGTATTTTGTGACCTCTATACAAAACTAAATGATGTGGACACATAAATGAGGATGCTAAATATTTTTCTCTTCAAAACTTATAAAAACTAAAAAAATTGAGTAATTTTGATATGATTTGTGTTTTAGGAATTTTACAAAGCATAGCAAGCATTTTAATTTTTTGTTGTTGTTTTGTTTTAAATAGGAGAGTCAAGAGGTATGTTGATGTCAAATATATTGAAAAACAGGAAAATCTCATCACTCTAGCGATGTTTTGATATAACCATATTCCACCTAGCGTTTGGAGTACTACACCTACCCAAGAAAGAAGTTCCCAACCTTTTTTTCTGCCAAGTATTCTTTTCATTATTGCTCCTATGGATCTGTTGTTTAAAATATATATTATGTACTTTTTTTGGTTTTGTTTATTAAGGATATGTAACTTGCAGCAAGAACTTTTGATTGGCATGTGATAACTAATCAGCATGTGATCAAGTTATGCCAATGTAGTAGCAGCCAAAAGCTGTTGAACTTGACGAGTTCACTAGCCTATATTTCCTTACTAGGGAGTATACAGTTTTTCTTAAGATACATGAAATATTTAAGAAATCATGGAGAACATAATCACTAGAAAAATTAGTGGAAAAAACATTGTCCATGGAATCTAATAGGTCTTTGGGGGCACTGCCACTTATTAGCTGTGCTGTCTTGGCCCATTTGTTCATCTTTTTTTGGATTTCAGTTTCTTTATTGAATAAATGTACTACTACCCATCTTTTTATGGCTTTTGTTAGAATTAATGACACAGTAAATGTAAAGTGTATGCCATTGTACCTAAAATACAAAAGGAACTCAAAAGGTTAAATCCTTTAGAAAGGCAGTAATACCCCCAAAGTAGATTCTTTAGTGCTTTCTATAATTTTAGTTTTTTTAAAGACTGATAAATTTGGCCTATAAGATTTGAAGAATGGCAGGATGACTTGTAATTAATTAGCCATCATTAATCATTAATGTTATTGATGATAAACTTTTGTGTGTGTGTGTGTGTGCACGCGCGCATGCCTTTTTTTGAGGTAAAATTGATCAGTTCAGTCGCACAGTCATGTCTGTCTCTTTGCAACCCCATGAACTGCAGCACACCAAGCTTCCCTGTCCAATACCAAACTTCCGGAGCTTGCTCAAACTCATGTCCATCGAGTTGGTGATGCAATCCAATCATCTCATCCTCTGTCATCCCCTTCTCCTCCTGCCTTCAATCTTTCCCAGCATCAGGGGCTTTTCCAATGAGTCAGTTCTTCACATCAGGTGGCTAAAGGATTGGAGTTTCAGCTTCACCATCAGCCCTTCCAGTGAATATTCAGGACTGATTTCTTGAGGATGGACTGGTTGGATCTCACAGTCCAAGGGACTCTCAAGAGTCTTCTCCAACACCACAGTTCAAAAGCATCAATTCTTTGGTGCTCAGCTTTCTTTATAGTCCAACTCTCAAATCCATACATGACCACTGGAAAAACCATAGCTTTGATTAGATGGACCTTTGTTGACAAAGTAATGTCTCTGCTTTTTACTATGCTGTCTAGATTTGTCATAGCCTTTCATCCAAGGAGTAAGCGTCTTTTAATTTCATGGCTGCAGTCACCATCTGTAGTGATTTTGGAGCCCAAGAAAATTAAGTCTGTCACTGTTTCCATTGTCTCCTCATCTATATTTGCCGTGAAATGATAGGACCAGATACCATGATCTTAGTTTTTTGAGTGTTGAATTTTAAGCCAGCTTTTTCACTCTTCTCTTTCACTTTCATCAAGAGGCTCTTTAGTTCCTTTTCACTTTCTGCCATAAGGGTGATGTCATCTGCATATCTGAGGTTAATGGTTATTTCTCCTGGAAATCTTGATTCTATCTTGTGCTTCATCCAGCCGGGCATTTCACATGATGTACTCTGAATATAAGTTAAATAAGCAGGGTGACAATATACAGCCTTGATGTACTCCTTTTCCTATTTGGAACCAGTCTGTTATTCCATGTCTGGTTCTAACTGTTGCTTCTTGACCTACGTACAGATTTCTCAAGAGGCAGGTCAGGTGTTCTGGTATTCCCATCTCTTTAAGATTTTTCCACAAACAAACTGACTGTATGATCCACACAGTCAAAGGCTTTGGTGAAGTCAGTAAAGCAGAAGTAAATATTTTCCTGGAACTCTCTTGCTTTTTCAAAGATCCAGTGGATGTTGGCAAATTGATCTCTGGTTCCTCTGCCTTTTCTAAATCCAGCTTGAACATCTGGAAGTTCATGGTTCACGTACTGTTCAAGCCTGGCTTGGAGAATTTTGAGCATTACTTTGCTAGCGTGTGAGATGGGTGCAGTGTGCAGTGGTTTGAACCTTCTTTGGCATTGCCTTTTTTTGGGATTGGAGTGAAAACTGACCTTTTCCGGTCCTGTGGCCACTGCTGAGTTTCCCAAATTTGCTGGCATATTGAGTGCAGTGCTTTCACAGCATCATCTTTTAGGATTTGAAATAGCCTAACTGGAATTCCATCACCTCCACTAGCTTTGTTTGTAGTGATGCTTCCTAAGGCCCACTTGACTTCGCATCCCAGGATGTCTGTCTGGCTCTAGGTGAGTGATCACACTCACTAACTAACTTGTGGTTATCTGGGTCATGAACATCTTTTTTGTACAGTTCTTCTGAGTATTCTTGCCACCTCTTCTTAATATCTTCTGCTTCTTTTAGGTCCATAACATTTCTGTCCTTTATTGTGCCCATCTTTGCATGAAATGTTCCCTTGGAATCTCTAATTTTCTTGAGGCGATCTCTAGTCTTTCCCATTCTGTTGTTTTCCTCTGTTTATTTGCATTGATCACTTAGGAAGGCTTTCTTGTCTCTCCTTGCTATTCTTTGGAAGTCTGCATTCAGATAGATATATCTTTCCTTTTCTCCTTTGCCTTTCACTTTTGATACTGATATGTAACATTTTGAAATTGATATGTAACATTATATAAGTTTCAGGTATACAACATTATGATTTTACTTCTGTGCTCATTGCAGAGTGATCATTAAGAGTGTGATAATCAACCATCACCATACAGTTGACCCCTTTCACTTATTTCATCTACCCCAGCCCCTTTTCCTCTGGTAATGACCAGTCTGTTCTGTCTTTTGAGTTTGTTTTTGTTTTGTTTATTTTTTCCCTTTTTTTGGTTTGTTTCCATGTGAATGATACCATATGATTTTTGTCTTTCACTTTCTGACTTGCATTCTAATACCCTCAAGGTTCATCCATGTTGCAAATAGCTAGATTTCACTTTTTTCCCTTTTTTTTTTAATGGCCAAGTGGTTCCCAATCTGTATGTATATATCACATCTTATTCATCCATTTATCTTCCAGTGGATACTTAGGTTGTTTCTATATCTTGGGTGCATATATCTTTTTGAATTAGTGTTTTCATATTCTTCAGATAAATACCCATAAGTGGAATAGCTGGATTATATGGTAATTCTACCCTTATCTTTTGAAGAATCTTTGTATTCTTTTCCATACTGGCTATACCAGTTTACATTCCCATCAACAGTGCATGAAAGTTCCCTTTTCTCTACATGTTCCCCAATATTTGATATTTTTGTCTTTGTGATTATACCCATTCTAACGTGTAAAGTGATACTTCGTTGTGGTTTTCATTCATTTCCCTAATAATGATGTTGAACATATTTTGTTAGATCTGTTGGCTATCTGCATGCTTTCTTTGGGAAAATTGAAAGAAATTTTATTCTTATTTCTAAGAAAAGTAATATATTTTTGAGCATATTCAGTCAAATATTCCAAATATTTGTTTCAGATGTAGACCTTTTATCTTTATCTTATTAGCACAAATGGTGACAATATTTTCATATAAATAATCTACAAAAGAACATTGGAGGATTTCAATTTTTTTAAATTTATTTATTTATAATGAATGAGAAACTTGCTATCATAGAAGAATTCTGCCAAAATTGGAGCTTCTCATTTTTATGTTTACATAGTGTGTTCATATATACACATGTGCTGTGATATAAAGCAAGAGATGGAGGATTTTTTTCTGTCAGTAAAAATCACATTAAGAAGGTACAAATACAGTACCTATATTAAAATTGAAAGAAAGGAGAAGAAGATTATCATTGTTTTCTTTAAGCCTCTCGCCTTTTAAATGTGATCACACTTTGTAATTACAGTTTTTTATTTTCTGACAGATTCAGAAAAAACTGTACACATTAGAAGAACACCTTAGCACTGAGATACAAGCCAAAGAGGAACTAGAACAGAAGTGCAAGTATGTTCTGTGGATAATTAAATGTTATATTTTAAAATGTAAATTTAAACATTTTACTAAAGAGCTACAAATTCTATGATTACTTTACAATTTATGGCAAATGTCTTTATTGTAAGAATTATTTTATTTACTGTTGCCTTTGAAATTCCTCAGATCTGTTAATACTCGCCTAGAGAAAGTGGCAAAGGAACTAGAAGAAGAGGTAAAGTTTCTCTATGCTTTTATTAACATTTTTGTTCGTAAAAAGTTTTGATGTCTGAATTACCTATAGAGTTCACTCTATACCATACTAATACAAATCTTGTTATATAGTAAAATATATGTTGTAGCATTGGTGGACAGGACCAAGATTATAGAGTAAACCGTGATAATAGGCTTCATTTTGTTGTGGTTTTGCAATGAATTAATTTAGTATGTGTAGATATTTCAAGGAAAAATAGTTTCAGTCATATTAATGACATGGCTGAAAAATAGAAATTGACAATTTTTTTTATTATTCAGACCTGTAGTTTATATTAAGTAAAGGTGCTTCAAGGGTGATGAAATGTTAGAGATTTTGGCTTACAATAGTAAACAAAATATTTATGTTCCTGATTATTTAAGAATAATATGCTATTTTAAAAATATGGAAACTGCTCCCCCACCCCCGCCCCCGCCCCAGAGCCGTGCTGGTTCTGCAGCTCTGTGGCAAGCCGCGGAATTGGGGTTCTGTCCCACAGGATGGGGTTTGTGAAAGTTGTCAAGAGCAAGGCCTACTTCAAGAGATACCAAGTGAAATTCAGAAGGCAAGAGGGCAAAACTGACTACTATGCTCGGAAACGATTGGTAATCCAAGATAAAAAATAAGTACAACACACCTAAATACAGAATGATTGTTCATGTAACGAACAGAGATATCATTTGTCAGATTGCTTATGTCCGTATAGAAGGAGATATGATAGTTTGTGCAGCTGATGCTCACAAACTCCCAAAATATGGTGTGAAGGTTGGCCTGACAAATTACGCTGCAACGTATTGTACTGGCCTGCTGCTGGCCCACAGGCTTCTTAGTAGGTTTGGTATGGACAAAATTTATGAAGGCCAAGTCTAAGTGACTGGAGATGAATACAATGTGGAAAGTATTGATGGTCAACCTGGTGCCTTCACCTGTTACTTGGATGCAGGACTTGCCAGAACTACTACCAGGAATAAAGTTTTTGGGGCCCTAAAGGGAGCTGTCGATGGAGGCTTGTCTATCCCTCACAGTACCAAACGGTTCCCTGGTTATGATTCAGAAAGCAAAGAATTCGGTGCTGAGGTACACCGAAAGCACATCATGGAACAGAACGTTGCAGACTACGTGTGTTACCTGATTGAAGAAGCTGAAGATGCTTACAAGAAACAATTCTCTCAGTGCATAAAGAACAGTGTAACTCCAGACATGATGGAGGAGATGTATAAGAAAGCTCATGCTGCAACACGAGAGAATCCAGTGTATGAGAAGAAGCCTAAGAAAGAAGTTAAAAAGAAGAGGTGGAACCATCCCGAAATGTCACTTGCCCAGAAGAAAGATCAGGTAGCTCAGAAGAAGGCAAGCTTCCTTAGAGCTCAGGAACGAGCTGCCGAGAGTTAAACCAAACCACAATTTTCTATCAAGACTTTTCAGATAAGACAATAATAAACTTATTGAACAAGCAAAAAATTTAAAAATAAAATAAATAAAAATATAGAAACCATTTGTAATTTTAACAAAATGGCTTTTATTAGTTATTAGCTTTTTTAAAGGTTTCTTCTATCTGTTTGATGTAACTGAAGTATTTTTTATTTTCATTTGATTTTTATACATACTTTCCTTTGATAATAACTTCAAGCATTATTTCAGATTACCTTAAGGAAAAATGTGGAATCAACATTAAGACAATTAGAAAGAGAAAAGGCACTTCTTCAGCACAAAAATGCAGAATATCAGCGGAAAGCTGATCATGAAGCAGACAAGAAGCGAAATTTGGAGAATGATGGTTTGTAGTGTAGAATACTAAATACTTACTAAGAAAAGAAGTTTGTATGTGTGTGTTGTGTTGAAGCTTACTACTTAAATGCTTTTTATCATAGTTAACAGTTTAAAAGATCAGCTTGAAGACTTGAAAAAAAGAAATCAGAACTCTCAGATATCCACTGAGAAAGTGAATCAACTCCAGAGACAAGTAGGTTGATCCCAATTTATTTATAATAAGGATTTTGAATTTTATTTATGACTGTTAGCATTTGTTTTAATTGGTAATGTTACAAAAGGGAAATCATTTGAAAGATATTTTTAGGGTTTTTCTTATTTTAAATAGTTTGCAATGGGGTAATAAATTAAAGTATTTTCATCATATATGGCTGTGTTTATTTGTTTGTTTTTTGTTTGGTTTTGAATTGAATTAACAGCTGGATGAAACCAATGCTTTGCTGCGAACAGAATCTGATACTGCAGCCCGGTTAAGGAAAACACAGGCAGAGAGTTCAAAACAGATTCAGCAACTGGAATCTAACAACAGAGATCTACAAGACAAAAATTGCCTCCTGGAGACTGCCAGGTTAAAACTTGAAAAGGAATTTATCAATCTTCAGTCAGTTCTAGAATCTGAGAGGAGGGACCGAACCCATGGATCAGAGATTATTAATGATTTACAAGGTATTAAAATAAAGTGGAGATTGCACTTAAGTTCATCTTAAATATCTGTGATTTGGAGATAACCTTAAATGGTGGATAATGTGCTGGAGTAGTGAGTGTATGGATACACTACTCTGTTCTATGAAGTTAGGGTGTTAGAAATACACTGTTATAAAATTTTATGAATGAAGGATTTACTTTCAAGTAGTATGAAGTATTTTAAGTAACAAGCCATTTCTGGAAGCAGTAGATTGAATTCCAGTTGAATTAACTCTGAAGCACTATACCAACAATTATAAAATTTCTGCTCATAAATAACAGCTTTAAGGTATGAGGTGAATTCTGAATTTTTTACTCTAAATTTAATTTGTATTGTATATGAATTTATTGTTTTTTAAAATGTTGCAATTTTAGGTAGAATATCTGGCCTAGAAGAAGATGTAAAGAATGGTAAAATCTTATTAGCAAAAGTAGAGCTGGAGAAGAGACAACTACAGGAGAGATTTACTGATTTGGAAAAGGTAAAACCTGTTAAGTTTCATATTTGTGTAGGAAAATGGCTGTAGAGTTTCGAGTTGAAAAACTTATTCTAAAATAAAGAAAATTAGTAACAGGTATTTCCAGCACTCATGTACTTTCTTATATTGTTATGTACATTGAGGATACACACTTTAAGGCTTACCATAACACCATACAAGCAGCCCTTAGCATGTTAGTTGCTTATGAAGGGAGGACTGTCCTAGGGTGTGTTATGAGGATGCTTCTCCGTAGACATCCCAGGAAAACTTAGATTTTGATGTACATTATATCTTCAAAATGATGTAAAATTATCATGACTTGTCATGTAGAAGTTTACCAAAAAGTGCTATAAGTAGGGATAATTTCTAGACTCTGTGTAGATAATATCTTGTTTTCATTCATTTAAGTATTAGTGTATCGAATGTGGGAGAAATATCAGGATGCAGTTCTTGCCCTTAACAACCTCACATCTAGTAAGTAATTTCTGAAGTAAAAGTAAAGTACACAGATAATTCTAATGCAGTGTGGTAAGTAGAATGATAGAGGTATGGGCAGGGTATCTTGGGTACACAGAATGAACCCCTAATCTGACAGGGCAGCATTGGCTGACAAAGTAAAGGTGCACTACGAGCGGGGAAGGACATCATGAGTGAAGGCACAGAGGATAGAAAATAAAAAACTCATAGTCAGTGTATTTACGGATAAACTATTCAGTATTTCTAGAGTAAAGAGTGAAGGTCAAGCAATTTTACTCTTTTAAGGGAAAGAGTGAATATTTTAAATTTTGCAGGCCATATGGTCTCTCCTTCAGTAAAGGGAATAGGCATGGCTATGATCTAATGAAGTTTTACAAAAATAGACATCAGGCTAAAATTGGCCATGCAAGATATTGAATACTCTATTAAGAAACTTATTGCTCTAAGAAATGGACTAACCACTGAAGGGCTTTTAAGTTGGGTGATTTTATTAGTGATTCATTTAAGATACATTATTATGTACTATGTGAAAACTAGGTTTGAGGAGGACAAGATGAGGTAGGTGGATTAATCAGAGGCTTTTTCAGATAAAGTAACTCAGATAATGGAGACTTAACTAGTACAGTAGTTCAAAGGATGGAAAATAGGAATGAATCTGAGAAATATTTGAAGGAGGAGTATTTGGGAACACTTAGTGATTGATTGATTAAATGTAGCATGTGAATAGTACTTAAGAATGAGTTTTGAGTTCCTAGTTTGTGACAAAAATCTATAGTAGTGGTGTCTTTAATTAATATAGAATGAAGGAGAAGTAGAGGAGACAATGATACATCCATTTTAGTCTTGAGGTGCTGGTGAAACAACCAAATTAGGATGTCTACAGAGAAGTAAGCTATGGTAGTAAGCAGCTAGAAATATTTGATCGTCGTTGATATTGAAGTAGCTCAAACTATGCGAATGAAAGAACCCATCTGGAAGGAGATTGCTTAGATCTGTGGTTTTTCAAAGCAGAGTAAACTACTCTGTTGATAGATTGTGTAGTTTGAAAAAAATTATTTTCATTATTGAAAAAAAAAGTCTGTATTTATGATACAAACTATAGGAAACAAAGAATTAGAAAATCTTTTGAGGATATATAGAAAATTAACTTCTATTAATGGTTCTCAACTTAAAACATGTTTTCCATGTGGAAAATAAAGATGAGTAGCAGAGGATCCTGTATTCCCCACCCCACCCCCCAAAAGATCTAGCAAGGAGAATGTTAGGTATGTTTTAAAAATTTGAGAAATAACACAGAAAGGGGAGAAGCATTATGGCTAAAGAATGCTACCTGCAGAGAACACCCAATATTTAAGAGGTGGCTGGGAGAAAACGTCACACACAGCAGAAAAGATGAGAGAAGGATGGGAAGAGCCAAGTGAGGTCAAGTCTATCAAGGAAATAGTCTTTAGGGCAACAGTGAGTTCAAATGAAAAATGACTGAAAGGGTTTGTTGAATTTGATAACGAGGTGTCATTCATCACTTTATTGAGCTCAAGTAATCACAGTGAAGATCTTGAAACAGTAGTGGAGATATGGGAGATAAGTATATTGGGAAGCAAACAAGTGAAACAGCACATAGTGTACTTTTACAGGAAGTCTGTAAAGAAATTTTTGAAATTGTGAGCCAGTCTGTTTTGTTGATGGCTGCCGTTTAAATCTTAAATAGGAAAAGAACAACATGGAAATAGATATGACATACCAACTAAAAGTTATACAGCAAAGTTTAGAACAAGAAGAAACTGAACATAAGGCTACAAAAGCACGGCTTGCAGATAAAAACAAGATTTATGAATCCATTGAAGAAGCTAAATCAGAAGCCATGAAAGGTACGCATTTTCATAAGAAGATTTTCAGCAATATTTTACAGAATTGATTCTGTATTCAATTCTGATTTTGGAAAGATTTTTAAAAACTATTAGGAAAACTTTACATATATATATATATATTTTTCCCCCCTCCCTTTAAGGCCATGACCATTTCTAGGATAGTAAGGCTCAAACACAAAATTTCTCAACCACATTTTTAGATCAGAGAAATGAATATTTCAGTGGTATCAATAGTGGCAGGCATATAGAGTGTGAAATTCTAGATATACTTGTTCAGATTTGGGGGATATGCTCTTTTTATAATTAGCTTGACATTTCACCAGCTTATGTTAGAAAATTCTTTCCTGAAGTTTGTGTACAGTGAACTTTCCTGAAGTTCACTGAATATTTTGAAATCTGGCATGATGAAGATACTAGCTGTATTTAGTCAGAGTCACACAAAGCTAATGAGTGTAGGGTAAGATAACAAAGTTAACTTTTCCACAAACTAAGCCTGTTATCTTGGAATTGTCATTTAGATTATATCTTGTTTTCCAAACTGACTGTCTATATATGATGGATTTGAAATTCCAAAAGAAATCAAGATTTGTAAAACTCTTAAACAGAAATTTCATTTCATATTAAACCATAACATTAATAACTTAGCAAAAAAATAGCCTTTTAATTATTGAATGTAGTTAAAATGGGAGGGTTTTTTTTTGTCAAAAGCAGTTTAGTTTAAGACATTGATTTTAGATGATAAAAGATGAAATGAGTGCTATATTTAGAAATACCTGGTAAGAAGAAAGTGGGACAAGAGTTGAATTTCTTTTGAGATCATAATTTAGGTGCTACAAAATGCAAACATTTTTCACATTTGTAACACACATGTAATCACCACCCAAGACAAGATAGACAATCTATATTTTCCTCATCTCAGTGAGTTTACTCATGCCTCTATCTGTTCTCTAAACCCACGTTCCAGTGATTAGTTTATAAAATGAGTACATTTGTTTATAGGTTGTTCTCAGAACTGTTGAAAATGAACCAATTTAGCATAGTAACAACTGTCTTTTTTTCAAATTTCTCATCACAACTCTAACATACAAATGACTTTCATATTTTGCATGATTGCACACAACTTAAATTTTGTAGATGGTACTCAAATATGGTATAAAACCTTTGGTCTCTCTACTGCATGTCATTGCTTCCTTTGAGTAAGAATATGGCTTACCAGTGAATTACTAGCTATGTGATCTTGTCTAGTTACTTACCCTTTTATGCCTAGTTTCCTGTAAAGGGACATTTCCTATATTTGGTTGTGAAAAACAGGTGCATTGATACATGAAAAGTGCCTAGAAGTGCTAGCTGTTTTTAGTAGTATATGAAAAGCGTTTCATTTTTCCACACTTTTGAAGCTAGTTCATTAAAAACTGAAAGTTCATAACGTTTAAATTTTACCTAATATAACTTTGGTAAGTGATAAAGGCAGAATTATTCTGCTTTCATTAAAATGAATATAATATTGCAGAATGTGGTAGATTTTTATACCCTGCAAATATAACACTTAATTTTTAAGCATGAAATTGTTGATATTTCAGTTGTATTAAGAGGAGTAATGAAAATGTTAAATTGGAAATTAAAAACAATTTTGAGGCAGCATCATTTATTGCAATTTTTATTAGCACTGTGTCATGTATTTCATATGCTTTTTTTGTTTGGTTCATGATTATGTCTATTTTTGTGGCAATAGAAATGGAGAAAAAGCTCTCGGAGGAAAGAACTTTAAAACAAAAAGTAGAGAACTTGTTGCTGGAGGCTGAGAAAAGATGCTCTATATTAGACTGTGACCTCAAACAGTCACAGCAGAAAATAAATGAACTCCTCAAACAGAAAGATGTGCTAAATGAGGATGTAAGTGTGCAGCTTACTGTATAATGAGCTGTTTAATTAATAATAAACTAGGTTTATTTGTAGAGGTTCAATGATGGTTTTACAATTAAAATTTTTTCTTGTAAAATAATATTCTGTAATTTTTTAATTGTACCAGATTTGGATGATATACTCAATGAATCATAATTAAAATTTCTTTGAAGACTAATTTTATTTTTAAAATATATTATTATGGAAAATCCAAAAAATACTGTGAAATGAATTAACTGTTTAAGGGGGAAAATATCTGTTTTATATCGTTATATTTACTGCCAGCTTCATTGATGGGAAAATCAAAATAATTTCCTTTCATACCAATAACACTATTTTTTAGGTTAGAAACTTGACATTAAAAATAGAACAGGAAACTCAGAAGCGCTGCCTTACACAAAATGACTTGAAGATGCAAACACAGCAAGTTAACACACTAAAAATGTCAGAAAAGCAGTTAAAGCAAGAGAATAATCATCTCCTAGAAATGAAAATGAGCTTGGAAAAACAGAATGCTGAACTTCGAAAGTAAGTTAATTGTTTGAGACAAAGACTTACTAATATACAGAGCTACCTCCATGTAAGTTATCTTAATTTTTACTTATCTGGGAGTTTTCTTTTGACGCCTTTGTTTTCTTGACCGCATTTTTCTCTTTCTGTTTAAGTGATGTGTTGAGTGCCACTGTTGTCCTTCAAAAAGATTTTATTTGCTTCCCCAACAATTTTTACTACTGCCACATTATGATATAATGGTATATTGTTTGTGCTAAAGAAGAAAAGGTCTGGGGTTTGCACCCCCACGCTCTTAAGATTCCTCCTCAGAACTGTCTCGCAAACAGAAGTGTCTTTTGTTTGTTCCTTCAGTTTCTGGGACTTGGAAATGTTTGACTGTTAAGCAAACACCATATAAATTTTTAAATCACATTTTAGGATACACTCTTGTGCTATATCCCTGAGTCAGGAAGATCCCCTAGAGAAGGAAATGGCAATCCACTCCAGTATTCTTGCCTGGAGAATTCCATGGACAGAGGAGCCTGGAGGGCTATAGTCCCTGGGGGTCACAAAGAGCCAGACACGACTGAGCAACACACTTTCTCTAGTGCTATATTTAATTTACTTAGAAAAACATTGTTAAAATACTTTTAATTAAGGCATATAGTAAATATACTGTTAAAATTTGCCCCATTTAGTCATTAGTAGTATAATTAGTAATGATCAAAGATTCTAGGAAATACCACTTCCATTAAACATGAACCTGACATAAAAAGGAAAGACAGAATAGGAAGGAGCTCTTGAAGGTTAAAAATTATTGCCAATGTAAATTTATTAGAAGAGTTTGAAGAAAAAAAATTTTTTTTTAATTTCACAAAATATAGAACAAGAAGAAATGACATAGAATATATGAGAGAAAAGCTAAGACACACACCAGCTTATTCTGAGTTCTAGCACCAGACAAGGAATTCCAGAGAATCTTAGGGAAGGAAGTTACTAAAGAAATAATGGAAAAGAATTTCTCATAATTGGAAAAGAAGTCTTTATATTGAAAAGACCAGCAAAGATACTTGAGAAAAGACTCATATTTAGACATGTTCTTATGAAATCTGAAAAACAAAAGAGAATGGAGTTGTTGGCAGTTCTTATCTCCAGCTGGGGAGGTTGTGGTTTGTGGTTCATGCAATAGGAAATGAATGGTCTGATTATGTCACTTAGACCAGTGATATAACTGTGTTAGGGGTTGGGGAGAGGTTAGGGGTGGTAAGAGCTAAATTCTCACATATGGCAGCAGGGAATTGGTAAATAATTAAAATGTATGTTAAGGAATAAGCTGAGATGTGGTGGGAACCACAAAAGAACAATAAACAGAAATGAAACAAAGTGATTTCCTCTAGGGAAATAGGATTGTCCTGTGGATGGTTATGGATAAGGAGACTGTGACCTTTCGTAATTTTTTCTGTGCTAGTCTGTACTATCTAACTGTAACCATGTGCATATTATATAATTACTTTCTGAAAAATAGCTTTTGTTAAATACCTAATAAATGTTGGGTTTTAAAAGTTACATATAATGAACAGTAGCTCTTCAAAAAGATCATGATATTAATATTACACTGGAGTTTGCTGCAAGTGAGCCTAGCTAGTGATGATTTAAAATTTTTTAAACTTGCTCTTTCATATGTTATTAGCATCTTTCACATCTTTGGCTCAGAGAAATAAGAATCATACTTTTTAAAATAATACACTGATTAATAATAAAATACAGAATTAACACAGTGAAGTGACATTTGGTGATAATTTCCTGTTTATCCAGAAGTTGAAGGACCAGTGAGTAAACAAAGTGATCAGATTATATTAAATTAAAATAAGGATAAAAGTTCTCTAAGTAATATTAAATTGAAATTGAAGGCACTGTGATTAAATCATTTAATCTCCCTGAGGTTTTCTTGCTTTATACACTTTTATTTACAAATTTATTTGGCCACACAGCCTGTGGGATCTCAGTTTCCTGACTAGGAATAGAACCTGTGCCCCTGCAGTGGAGGTGTGGAGTCTTAATCACTGAACTGCCAGGGAAGTCCACCTATATACATTTTTAAAATATCCAACTGGTAGTAAAATATTTTCTCACTTTAAAATATTTAGAACTATGTTAAAAGAAAAAGAGAAAACAAATACAAGGTCTCCTTTATGAATACAGACATGGTTAATCTCTCCAGAAGTAGTATATCTTAATAATCTTAATATATCCTTCCATACCTTTTTCTGTGCCTATACCTGTACATCTGTACTATATTATTTACAGGGTTGAGTTTCTGTAGAATTTTGTTGTTGTTGTTTTTTGTTTTTTAATTGTATCATGTATTGTTCTCCAACTTGTTTTCTTTCTTCTTAGCTTTGACTTGAAATAACTATAATATATATATATATGATTTTGTTTTTTTGATAAGCCTTATTATTTCATTAAACTTTATTAAGTCAATAAGCCTTATTAGACTTATTATTTCATTCCAACATCTTAAAAGTGTTACTAGGTTTGTTTTTTATTTAACTTTTTTCTTTACTGAAGATTAAGATATATATATAGAAAAAGTACACAAATGATAAATATAAAACTCTGAATTTTTATAAAGTGTTCAAATCTGTGCAGTTACCATTTTGTTGTTCTTTGTTTGCTAAGTTGTGTCCAACTCTTTTGCGACCCATGGACTGTAGCCCACCAGGCTCCTCTGTCCATGGGATTTTCCAGACAAGAATAACTGGAGTGGGTTGCCATTTCCTTCTCCAGGGTATCTTTCCAACCCAGGGATCGAACTTGCATCTCCTGCATTACTGGTGGATTCTTTACCACTGAGCCACCAGAAATCTGCGCAGTTGCTATTTACATTTACCTATTCTTAACCTCCCTGCAGGGCCCCTCCCAGTCATTTCTTCACTCATTCTAAGATAATCGATTTTCAGGTGCTCTTTAATTCTACTGCTTGGTTGGCATAAATCACTGATCACAATGCATGTCTGAGAATATAATTCAGTGTTATTAGTTTAATATAGCACTATTTGGTCTCAGAATGCCTTACACTTTTAAAAAATTTATTGAGGGCCCCAAAGAGTTTTTGTTTATTTGAATTTTATCTAATGTTGTTTATTGTGTTAAAAATTGAAACTGAGAAAATTTAGAAACACAGGAGCATACATGCACACGTTTCATTAGCTGTTGGAATAATAAAATCCTCATATGTCATGCAGCCTCATGAAAATGTATATACATGGAAAGAATTAAAGCTTTAAAAATAGCCATGATTCTTAGTATTATGAAAATAATTCTACCTCGTGGATTTTCTGGAAGGGTACTTAGGTGCTCCCAGAGGTTTTCTAGACCACATTTCAAGAGTTGCTGGCTTAACATATGTCTAACCAATGTCCCCACAGAGAACGTCAAGATGCAGATGGACAAATGAAAGAGCTCCAGGATCAGCTTGAAGCAGAACAGTATTTCTCAGTAAGTCCAGACATATTACTTTGAAAATAATTGCATTTGTAGAATTAGTAAAAAATTTTTTTGCCAGGAGACTAATTCTTTAAATTCTTATAGCAAACCCCAGAGAGAATTTTGGATGAATGTTTTATACCACACACCTGTAAAAGGAATACCGGGTCAAGAGACTGTAGATAGTCTAACAGAAAATTCATTATCATTTCAAAAAAAAAGTAGTTGTAAGCACATACCCGCACCATATGAAGTTCATTTCAAAAAGCATTGATTTTTGAGGAAGAATATATTTGTATAATGAAAGAAATAAGATTGTTATTTTAACATTTGCCCTCTTTTGAGTTTTAAAATATGAAATAGTAACTGTCACCTCTGTTTCATTGATTTTTAAGCCAGCAAAATTTTCTTGAATAAATTAATAATATTTTTCTTTGCCTCTTCATCCTACCAATGTGACATTTAATGAGAAATTTCACTAGGCTATCCAGTTGAAAATCACACTTGTAAATTATTAGCTGAAGTTTTATTAGTTAATTGGGTTGATTACCAGAAAATAGAAAATCTCATTGAACTATCACTTTGCTCATGGGCTCAACATTACTCAGTTTTATGAGCCTACTAGGTAGTGCTCAACTGAACTTTTTGTCTGGATAGCTTTTGAATATTTGTAACAATGATGATACATGTTTCTATTCTGTTTTGCTATTTAGACCCTCTATAAAACACAGGTTAGGGAACTTAAGGAAGAATGTGAAGAAAAGACCAAACTTTGTAAAGAATTACAGCAGAAGAAACAGGAATTACAGGATGAAAGGTGAGGATAAGATCCTTATCTCTGTTCAAAGCCATGTACCCTACTCCTAGAAAGTGCCTCTGTGTGTGTTAGTCACTTAGTCATGCCCAACTTTTTGCAACCCCATTGATTGTAGCCTGCCAGGCTCCTCTGGCCATGGAATTCTCCAGGCAAAAATACTGGAGTGAGTTGCCATTCCCTTCTCCAGAGGATCTTCCTGATCTGAACCCAGGTCTCCTGCATTGGCAGGCTGATTCTTTACTATCTGAACCACCAGGGAACTCTAAATAAAATTTGTTGATGAAGTTAATAAAAAGCAGAAGATAGTAAGAAAAGTTGGCAAGAATACACAGAAGAACTATACAAACATGACCCAGATAACTACTATGGTATGATCACTCAACTAGAGCCAGACATCCTGGAATGCAAAGTCCAGTGGGCCTTAGGAAGCATCACTACAAACAAAGCTAGGGGAGGTGATGGAATTCCAGCTGAGCTTTTTCAGATCCTAAAAGATGATGCTGTTAAGTGCTACATTACATATGCCAACATATTTGGAAAACTCAGCAGTGGCCACAGGACTAGAAGAGATCAGTTTTCATTCCAATCCCAAAGAAAGGCAATGCCAAAGAATGTTCAAATTACTGCACAGTTGCACTCATTTCACACGCTTGCAAAGTAATGCTCTAAATTCTCCAAGCCAGGCTTCAACAGTACGTGAGCCGTGAACGTGAGATGTTCAAGCTGGATTTAGAAAAGGTAGAGGAACCAGAGATCAACTTGCCAACATCCACTGGATCATCGAAAAAACAAGAGAGTTCCAGAAAAACATCTATTTCTGCTTTATTGACTATGCCAAATCCTTTGACTGTGTGGTTCACAACAAACTGGAAAATTCTGAAAGAGATGGGAATACCAGTCCACCTTACCTGCCTCCTGAGAAATCCATATGAAGGTCAAGAAGCAACAGTTAGAACCGGACATGGAACAACAGACTGGTTCCAAATCAGGAAAGGAGTACGTCAAGGCTGTATATTGTCACCCCGCTTATTTAATTTATATGCATTACATCATGAGAAATCCTGGACTGCATGAAGCACACGCTGGAATCAAGGTTGCCGGGAGAAATAGCAATAACCTCAGATATGCAGATGACACCACCCATATGGTGGAAAAATGAAGAAGAACTGAAGAGTCTCTTGATGAAAGGGAAAGAGGAGAGTGAAAAAGTTGGCTTAAAGCTCAACATTCAGAAAACTGAGATCATGACATCTGGTCCCATCACTTCATGGCAAATAGATGGGAAAAAAATGGAAATCGTGACAAATTTTATTGTTTGGGGCTACAAAACCACTGCAGATGGTGACTGCAGCCATGAAATTTAAAAACACTTGCTCCTTGGAAGAAGAACTATTACCAACCTAGACAGCATATTAAAAAGTAGAGACATTACTTTGCCAACAGAGGTCCATCTAGTCAAGGCTGTGAGTTTTCCAGTAGTCATGTATGGATGTGAGAGTTGGACTGTAAAGAAAGTTGAGCACTGAAGAATTGAGCTTTTGAACTGTGGTGTCAGAGGAGACTCTTGAGAATCCTTTGTACTGCTGGGAGATCCAACCAATCAGTCCTCAAGGAAATCAGTCCTGAATATTCATTGGAAAGATGGATGCTGAAGCTGTAGCTCCATTACTTTGGCCACCTGATGTGAAGAACTGACTCATTGGAAAAGACCCTGATGCTGGGAAAGATTGAAGGCAGGAGGAGAAGGGGATGGCAGAGGATGAGATGGCTGGATGGCATCACCAACTCGATGGACTTGAGTTTGAGTAAGCTCCGGGAGTTGGTGATGGACAGGGAGGCCTGGTGTGCTGCAGTCCATGAGGTCACAAAGAGTCTGACACAACTGAGTGACTGAACTGAACTGACTGATCTGATGGTTAATTAGACAAAAACTTCAACTTTGTAATAAAAAATTGAACATTAAAATTTTATTTCTCTTAAACCTAGGGATTCCTTAGCTGCTCAACTGGAGATTACCTTAACCAAAGCAGATTCTGAGCAACTGGCTCGTTCAATTGCTGAGGAGCAGTATTCTGATTTGGAAAAAGAAAAGATCATGAAAGAGCTGGAGATCAAAGAGATGATGGCTCGGCACAAACAGGAACTCACTGAAAAAGATGCTACTATTGCGTCTGTAAGTAAAGTCCTTGGTTCATTTTTGGCTATAATTAAATTGTTATAAATCTTGATTTAGAAATACTAGGAAAGTAACATAAATCTAAATGAAAAATTGTATGTTTTGGCTACAAGATATTTGAGCTCGTGAACCATCAGCTTCTCAATTTTGTTTGGCACAGAGAGGGCCCCCCCAAAACACAACTTCCAATGGCTTCACCTGTTGGTAAATTCAGGGTTAAGGACTAAAGTGAAAAGAAAATACCAAAAGTACAAAACAGTTTAAGTCTTTTTTTTCCTGTTAAATCAATTGTAGTTTAAGAGAATTTGAAATTAATCATGAAGATTAGTTTAATCATGAAGATAACCATATGTAGGTTGAAAATAATTGTAATAAAAATTTCAGATAGAAGTAAAATACCAAGTAGTTGAGTTAGCCTTATCAATTGTCCAGATCTATTAAAAATGTTACAGTAATTTTAAAGCATGGCATTAGAACAGGGATATTTAATCCTGTTCAGTGAAAGTGAGTAGGGAGACCAGAAATAGACTGATGCACGTAGGAGAACTTGGCATAGGACGTCAGTGGCAACACACGAATCAGTGGGAGAGGATACAGATTTAATACATGGTTTTGAAATGACTATGTTTTTATGTGGAAAGGAATAAAATTAGATTCTTATTATCATTTACCATATATAACAGTAAATTCTAGCTATCTTGAGAACCTAAATATGTAAAATAAAAATTTTTAAATATTAGAATGAAATTTAACGTTTACTTGTAACAGAAAATAAGTAAACAACAGGGAAAATACTTGTATTTATTAAACAAGTGATTAGTATCTAGAATATAAGTGGAACTCCTACTATTCAGTAAGAAAAAGCTAAATAATCAATCCAAAGGAAAAATTGGCCAAAAGAGAAAACCTAAAAATATGAGCAAGTGTTTAACTTCACTATTATTTAGGAAAAGGCTAGCTAAAATAATCTTGTATTACCATTTCATAGCCATCATGTTGGCAAAAACTCAGTGTCTGACTACTTTGAAATGTTTGAAGGATGTGTGGAAAATGATGTTTTTCTTACTAATATCCAGAGTATAAATTTAATATTGCACACTACAGTATAGTAAATAATATTGCAAGTTCCAGTAAATTTTAAATATTCGTATAATCCAAACAAAGTTCATAATAAGATAAATGTGCTAGACAAATTCAGACATACTACTCCTAGCAGCATAAATGTTTGTAATAGCAAAAATTCAAATATATTAATAGATGAGTGAATCGCTAAATGAAATGCAGTAGAAGCTAGAACTACTACATCAGTTAAAATTAATTATATATATCGACAATTTCATTCTTAATCTAATGAATGAAAGCAGTTACAGAAAAATACAGCATCATGCTGTTTATAGGCAGTTGAAAATCACATAAAACTGCATTATATTGTTTCACATGTGTGTAATGAAAGTGTACAATCATGGATGGGAAGGATGAACACATAATTCACAATAAAGTTTGCTTCAGGAAGGAAGAAGAACAGGCTTTGGCAAGAATTCCAAAGAATGTCAACTTCTTCAGTAAAATTTTATTTTCTGTTTTAAAACAATGTTTTATAACTATAGTTTTAAATTTTATCTATTCTGCATGCTGGAATGCAGAGCTTTGTTATAGTATTTGCTTTTTTTTTTTTTAGTTTACTAACTGTTACTTCCATTTAAAATACGACTAAAGATTTTTGAAAGGGGGCAAATTTTTGGCTTCCTGGGGTATATATGAAGTGTGTTAACGTTTCGTAAATTTTCATCAATTTTGAAGTTTGGTAAGGTAGGACAAAAGCAAGAACTGTAGAGATAGATGTACTTAGAAAAACAAGAGTTTTAGCAACATTCTAGGATGTTTTCATTTTGAATTACTGCTTTATAACTTAAAATTTTATAAATTAAGATATAAATTTTGTTTCCATTTTCATTTCTTAGCTTGAGGAAACTAATAGGACACTAACTAGTGATGTTGCCAATCTTGCAAATGAGAAAGAAGAATTAAATAACAAATTGAAAGAAGCCCAAGAGCGTATGTATTAACAAAGAATAAAATTTATTTTCAGTATGCCTAATATTTACCAGTTGCTAAACTATTAATATAATTTTTACATTTTTCTGTTTTAGAACTATCAAGGTTGAAAGATGAAGAAATAAGTGCAGCAGCTATTAAAGCACAATTTGAGAAGCAGCTGTTAACAGAGAGGACACTTAAAACTCAAGTGTGTATATAATAAGCTCTAAATATGATTTTGAAATTTTTCTTAGTTTATCTTTCTTGCATTTTACTTCTAACATTACAGATTGGCTGTAGCAGTCATTGATGGTACCAGTATGTGTGAACCATGAGGATTATCCAGTTTTTTACCACATTGAGAGAAACTAGATTTGATTAACATTGTTGAGTTCAATGTTTATTAAGTTTCTCTTAATTTTTCCATATGGAGTCATAAGCCCTCCTAATTTTTTTATTGTAATCTGGTAAATTTTTCTGCTTTTAAGAAATGGTAGAGAAGGACCATTTGCTGACAGCCTAAAAAAGGGTCACTCTGAAAAGGCCTCGTGATTATTAACTACCCTTTTCTCAGCTCTCAGATTGTATATACAACATGAGTCCTGGTGGGTCCAAGACGCTCTGCTCTGTGGTTGGACATTTATTTTATCAGTGTGATGCTAGTGCAAAACTCTCTTCTAGAATAAAAGATCTGCCTCCCAAGTGGTTGAAAATGAGATTAGAATGAACCTATAAACATTTTATTTTATTTTTTATTTATTTTTATTTTTTTTTTCCATTTATTTTTATTAGTTGGAGGCTAATTACTTTACATCGTTGCAGTGGTTTTTGTCATACATTGAAATGAATTAGCCATGGATTTACATGTATTCCCCATCCTGGTCCCCCCTCCCACCTCCCTCTCCACCCGATCCCTCTGGGTCTTCCCAGTGCACCAGGCCCGAGCACTTGTCTCATGCACCCAACCTGGGCTGGTGATCTGTTTCACCCTAGATAATATACATGTTTCAATGCTGTTCTCTTGAAACATCCCACCCTCGCCTTCTCCCAGAGTCCACAAGTCTGTTCTATACATCTGAGTCTCTTTTTCTGTTTTGCATATAGGGTTATCGTTACCATCTTTCTAAATTCCATATATATGTGTTAGTATACTGTAATGGTCTTTATCTTTCTGGCTTACTTCGCTCTGTATAATGGGCTCCAGTTTCATCCATCTCATTAGAACTGATTCAAATGAATTCTTTTTAATGGCTGAGTAATATTCCATGGTGTATATGTACCACAGCTTCCTCATCCATTCGTCTGCTGATGGGCATCTAGGTTGCTTCCATGTCCTGGCTATTATAAACAGTGCTGCGATGAACATTGGGGTGCACGTGTCTCTTTCAGATCTGGTTTCCTTGGTGTGTATGCCCAGAAGTGGGATTGCTGGGTCATATGGCAGTTCTATTTCCAGCTTTTTAAGAAATCTCCACACTGTTTTCCATAGTGGCTGTACTAATTTGCATTCCCACCAACAGTGTAAGAGGGTTCCCTTTTCTCCACACCCTCTCCAGCATTTATTGCTTGTAGACTTTTGGATAGCAGCCATCCTGACTGGCGTGTAATGGTACCTCATTGTGGTTTTGATTTGCATTTCTCTGATAATGAGTGATGTTGAGCATCTTTTCATGTGTTTGTTAGCCATCTGTATGTCTTCCTTGGAGAAATGTCTGTTGAGTTCTTTGGCCCATTTTTTGATTGGGTCATTTATTTTTCTGGAGTTGAGCTGGAGGAGTTGCTTGTATATTTTTGAGATTAATCCTTTGTTGCTTCGTTTGCTATTATTATTTTCTTAGAGTGAACCTATAAACATTTTAAATTATAGTTCTCAGAAAACATGAGAGTGAAAAACAGTGTTGGTTGGAAAACGATGATGAATAATGATGAAGGTGTATTTTTTTTTAGTATAAAAGGTATTTCTTTGTGGCCCTTTGTGTAGGGAAGATTTTGTAATGTGCTATTGGTGAGTTACCAAGAAATCATCAACATAATTTATTTACATCCTTATTTTTATGTTTTTAAGGCTGTGAATAAGTTGGCTGAGATCATGAATCGAAAGGAACCTGTTAAGCGTGGTAATGACACAGATGTGCGGAGAAAAGAAAAGGAGAATAGAAAGCTACATATGGAACTTAAATCTGAACGTGAAAAACTGACCCAGCAGATGATCAAGTATCAGAAAGAACTGAATGAAATGCAGGCTGTAAGAATACTTTTTGAACACTTCTTTTTAAGAAGTAGAATTATTTTCATGTCTGCATATATTTTATAGGTTATGGAACATTTCTATTAATAATTACAATAGTCTCCCCTTATGCAAGAGGACTATGTTCCAGGATCCCCAGTGAATGCCTGAAGCCACAGATACTACTGAACTCTATACCTACTATATATTTTCCTGTACTGTAAGGAGTGGGGTAGCATATACAGTGTGAATAAACTGGACAAAGGGATGATTAATATCCCAGGCAAGTAGAACCAAGCAATGTGGGAGTTCATCATACTACTTAGAACAGCACATGATTCAAAACTTAGAGACTGCTTATTTCTGAAATTTTCCATTTGTTATTTTCATACTGCAGTTGACCTTGGTTAATTGAAAACACAGAAAGTGAAACCTTGTATAAGGAGAGACTGCCATATTACTGAACTAGGAAGCAAAATTATAAGATGTATGACATTCAATTAATTTAATGTAATTCAATTTCTTGTAGCAAATAGCTGAAGAGAGTCAGATTCGAATTGAACTACAGATGACACTGGACAGTAAGGACAGTGACATTGAGCAGCTGCGCTCCCAGCTCCAGGCCTTGCACATTGGTTTGGATAGTTCCAGTATAGGCAGTGGACCAGGGGATACTGAAGCTGATGATGGGTTTCCAGGTATAGATTCATTCAGCCCTTACATTTACTTTTGTCTTAAATATAAATCAGTTGATGGTTTTAAGTCCTGTAACTGACTTTGCTCTTGAGGAAAAATATTTGTCGTTTCTTTAAGGGAACACCTACTCCTTAGAGTAGGGAGTTCAGATGACAGTTTAAATTATTTTATTTATTGATTTTTCACAAAACTTTTTATTAAAAAATGCAAGCGTAAATTTCACATATTTAGTTATTTAAATTAACTCTTTGTATATTATTCATAGCTCTCCTTTTAAGCTTTCATTTGTATTTTTTCTTTTTTCTGCATTCTTACTTCCTTTTATGTTGGGTGTTTAGTTCATATCACTCAGTCACACACTATGGAATCCATGTCATTCACCTACCAACGTTCCTCCACTTCTCTCAATATTGCCACTAAGCCTTCCAGTTCTCATATGCTTCTTGACTCTGACTCTGACTCAGAAGAAGAATCTGTTCCTTACTTACCTATTTCATCGGAACCTAATGGTACAGGTGACATCCTGAAAATCCTTGACCTCTGGGTTTTTTTTTCCCACTACCCATAATTTTAGTTTTTTGAAAATTTTTGTAATAATAACTAATATTGACTAACTCTAACAAGTTGCTCCATTAACAAGTCTCAGTTAAAAAGAAACTGCTGCATGAATAAAGATTTTGTTTTTTAAGGAATTTCGCTTCGCATTGCTGTTAGAATTGATAGAATTTGTTTTGTAAGCTTATAAGAAATGGAGTAGTGCTTTATATCATTTAAGAACATATGGTTTCACTGTCTGTTTCTTCCATTTTTAACCAAGAAGAAATTCTTTCTGAAGTTTCGTATGAAGAATGATGGTACAGAAAAAGCATGTGTAGACCATTTTAGAGGGTATATTTAGGTTTCCCTTAAGTGCTTCCTTAGTCTACATTGTGAAAGTGAAAAGTGTTAATCGCTCAGTTGTGTTAGACTCTTTTTGACCCCATGGACTGTAGCCCTCCAGGCTCTGTCCATGGGATCCCCAGGCAAGTATACTGGAGTGAGTTGCCCTTCCCTTCTCCAGGGGATCTTCCCCACCAAACAGTCAAAACCTGGATCTCCTGCATTGCAGGGAGATTCTTTACTGTCTAGCCACCAGGAAGACCAGCCAACATTGTACTAGGCCTTAAAAAAAGTATAAGACAGTTTGACCTGATCCTTGTCCTGAAAGGAATTATAGTTTAAATGAAGAAACCAGTTGGAAAACCCCAAAAATTGTTATGTTTAATGCAAAGTTAATGTAAGTATAAAAAACATTTAAAGTGAATACCACAGGAAATTAGTGCATAAACAGTTGGATGTAAAATAAAATTTAATCTATTAGTTGAATTCAGTGTAAATTTGCTATATTTATTTACATTGTCATCACACTTCCCAGGTATATATCAATATAAATCATAAGTGATTGTATTGAAGTTTTTTCTGATCTTAGCAATAAAATTATTTCAGTCTTACCCATATTGTTAGAGATCATCTGATTAATTCCTTAAATTGGTGTAGGGCCATGTCCAGACATTCGAGTATATAGCTGTATTTAATGACATCATTTCTGTTCATGGGGTCTGGAAGGTTGTTAATGTGAGAGAGGGAGGGAGCGAGTATAAGCACTGGATCAGAGATGTGTCCCTGTGTGACCTGTGGGATTGTTCTGAGAGTTGAAGAAAATTTATATAAGGTGTCTAGCACAGTTCAGACACAAAGTAGGTGATAGCTACTTTTATTATTAGCATAACCTCCAAAAATGCTTACTTTGTGTAATTATTTCACTAAAATAAACTGATCAGATACCATTAGAACAGATTCTAAGGATGCAGAGTTTTCTTGGCTGAACTAGAATTTTACTGATTTTACTATTTTAAAATTTAGGAATCTTTTGACTTACTGATACTTATTAGCCAGATTTGATCTGTAATTTACAGTTTTACTTCATTTTATTTAAAACCATTCTAACAGTCCATTTTCTCTGAACAGTTAATTACTCACAGAAAATATTTTGTCTTCAAAATTGTGTACTATATCTGTAGTTAGGCTTTCTTCCAAAGGAAAGATAGAGGATTCTGATACAGGTATACCAATGAGAATAGACAGACAGCTGCTTTTCATTTTTGCAACTTTTCTGCGGAACTTTGCAAATGCATGAATTTAATTAATGGGGCATTTGACCTTATAAACTACAAGATATATATTTCCAATATGATATAACCTGGATTTCGTTTTGCATTGTATAACTTGCTTATACTGATCCTACATTATTATTATATGTTAGATGATGTATAAATTCTGAAGGGCATATTTGCTTGTTACTTTTATATTAAAATTTTGTTAATTTCCTCATTTTCTTAAGAGATTTGTTGTACTTACACTCATATCTTGTGCTTATAGAATCAAGACTAGAAGGATGGCTTTCATTGCCTGTGAGAAACAACACTAAGAAATTTGGATGGGTTAAAAAGGTAATTGATACTTTTGAATCAATACTTGATTTTTAGTCAATACCTTGAATACTTCTGAATCAGTACCTTGATACATTTGAATCAAGGTCTTCTGTTTTACTTTTGGTTTAGCTATAGCCATTTCACTTTTGTTGTTTTAAGATATAGATAACCAGAACTTTTAGACACATAAAACTTGTTTGTACTTTGTGATTTGGAATAATTAATTTTATATATCTTCATTTTAAAAAAAGAAACTTTTCATTGTTAACATGTTGTTAATAATAAAACAGATTTTGGTGTTAGGAAAATAGAAGGCTGTATTGACCTTGGTGCTTTTGCTGTTTCCAGGAAAACAACTCTAGATATGACAGAAAGTCCCAGATATTTCTTTTCCTCTGTTACTATGATTATTGGTATTATGTTCATATTCGATAAGTATCTTAGGTTCAGGGCTGCTATAACAAAATACCACAGACTGAGTAGCTTATGAAAAACAAAGATTTATTTCTCACGGTTCTGGAGACTGGAAGTCCAAGATAAGGAATCGGCCAGCATGACTGGGTTCTGGTAAAGGTCTTTTTCCAGATTGCAGACTTCTTGCTCTGTCCTCATGGTGGAAGGGGTAGGAATTTTTCTGGAATCCCCTTTATAAGGGCACTAATCCCCTTCATGAGGTCTCTAGTGTGATGACCTAATCACCTTCCCAAGACCCCACTTCCTAATATCATCACCTTAGGTTATGATGTCAATTCATTAACATATGAATTTGGGAGAATATAACCATTCAAACCATAGCAATAAGGCTGCTTATGCTTTTGGATCTTAGAGCTAAATCAGTCCAAAAATTAGTTGAATTTGCCCCCCCCGCAATTTGTTTACTTAAAATGTATACAAATAGATCTGTTCTTATTTTAAGGAAGACTTTTTTTAAGGATACATTAAGATAGCTTTTTAGGTATTTAACATATATTTTATGATTTTTATTGCTAATATAGAATTTATTTTCAAAGAAAAACAAGATAGATATTAACTTTAATCATTGTTTAATTCGTTTCCTCATTTTTAACAGTATGTGATTGTAAGCAGTAAGAAGATCCTTTTCTATGACAGTGAACAAGATAAAGAACAATCTAATCCTTACATGGTTTTAGATATAGAGTAAGTATTTTTATTAGAATATTTGTTATTGTTGTTCAGTTGCTAGGTCGTGTCTGACTTTCTGTGCCCCATGGACTGCAGCACACTAGGCTTCCCTGTCCTTCACCATCTCCCGGAGTTGGCTCACGCTCATGTCTGTTGAGTTGGTGATGCCATCCAACCATGAGAATATTTTGGAACTTTATCTTTTAAAGTTTAAGAGAGTAGTGTGACCTTTTGTCAAGTTAGTGTAATTTATTAGTCATATAGTACATGTATATTCTCATATAGTGTAAGTGCTATTATACTGTTGTTAGATTTTCTTATATTTGCTTCATACAGATGAAAGTTTGGCATATAGAGTTGGCTAAAATGTCTCTATTTCATGAGCCTTCAATATGTTGTTTTCTGAAACTAATTAGAAAATTTCTGACTTACTGAAAATTTCTCAAAATCTCAAGGAGTAATTGAATTTATAGAGCTCTAACATTCTAATAAGAGTCAGAGTTGTTCAGTTGCTCAGTCGTGTCTGACTCTTTGCAACCCCATGAGCTGCAGCACACCAGGCTTCCCTGTGCTTTGCCATTTCCCAGAGTCAAGAGTAGTCAGTTTTAATTTCTGACATGAGTATAAGAAAACTGATAAAATCTGATCTTTTGGTAATACATTACTCTTTTTTAAAAAATCTTTTATAGCAAGTTATTTCATGTCCGACCAGTTACACAGACAGATGTATATAGAGCAGATGCTAAAGAAATTCCAAGGATATTCCAGGTAAATGGTTTTATTTTGTGGTTTATTTTGTTTTGTTCTTTTTGCCTTTATACATTCTCAGCATGACATGACATAACGAATTTCTTTATTCTTGGGCCTTTTTCAGATTATCTTTCTTCAATTTTTGTCCCATTTAGAGATGGTTTGTTCATTTGTGACTTTCATGCTTATCCTATTGGATACATCTTTAAATTCTTCTCTCCATCTTACTTGTTAAAGTCTGTAGTCTGTAGTGTATTTATATCATGTTTCTAGCCTTTGCTATCCTTTTGTTCAAAGTTGGTTATGACATTGTTTTAAAATTTTTATTTTTAATTGGAGGATAATTATTTACAGTATTGTAATGATTTCTGCCATACATCAACATGAATCATCCATAGGTATACATACGTCCCCTCCCTCCTGAACCTTGCTCCCCATCCCGCCCTTCTCGGTTGTCACAGAGTACCGACTTTGGGATCCTTGTTGGTTACAGCATTTTTTGAGCATGAATGTTCTGTTTTGGTTTTATGTTCAGTGCTCTAGAAAGTTAAAAAAGTTGCTTGTGAAGTTAAATTTTGCACCCAAGAACGCTTTTACTTCCAATTTAAGGTGAAGCCAAATTCTTCCCTTTATTTCTTCCATTTTGAAATTAGTCACACCAACCATGAATCCTTTCCGGTAAAAGCTGTAGTGCTTGGTGTACTGTAGGGAAGCTGGCAGCTTATTTTCTGGGTACTTAGCAGGTTTGTTTGAAATATCTTATACATCCTTTCCTCTTTTCCTTTTTTCCTCAATTCTCCAAATACAAATCTTTTCAATTAAAACTATATTTGCAGTTATCACTGAGTGGTCTGTTTTTAAGAATTATAGAGCCACAGTTCATCTCTTCAGGTGATTGTTTTGAAAATTCCCTCCAAGAAAAGCTTTCTAACACTAATCAAGTGAAGATTTATCTTTGGCTAGCCTATTGTGAAAAATTTGCTGAAACATAGGAAGATAACATGGAGAAAATTAGGAGGCATCATTTGAACAGGATTGATTCTTTTGAGATGTGAACCACATTGACTGGCTAGTGACTTTACTCATCTGAGCTCTTGATTACAACCTACTACCATTTGAACAACAAATGCATTTTTGTCTCATTGAATAGTTTAGACTAATTTTATTTATACTATAAGAATTATTACTACATTGAAATAGCTAACGTTTGAAGATACTCATTTTCTTTATGGTGTTTATAGATTCTGTATGCCAATGAAGGAGAAAGTAAGAAGGAACAAGAATTTCCAGTGGAGCCAGTGGGAGAAAAATCAAATTATATTTGCCACAAGGGACATGAATTTATTCCTACTCTCTATCATTTCCCAACCAACTGTGAGGCGTGTATGAAGCCATTGTGGCACATGTTTAAACCCCCTCCTGCTTTAGAGTGCCGTCGCTGTCATATTAAATGTCATAAAGATCACATGGACAAAAAGGAGGAAATCATAGCACCTTGCAAAGGTAAATAATAAATCACTTGTTCAATTAATATTACTTACGTTCAGATCATTTTAAACATTAATTTTTCTCAAATATTTCTTTATAGTGTATTATGATATTTCATCGGCAAAGAATCTATTGTTATTAGCAAATTCTACAGAAGAGCAGCAAAAGTGGGTGAGTCGGTTAGTGAAAAAGATACCTAAAAAGCCTCCAGCTCCAGACCCTTTTGCACGGTCATCTCCTAGAACGTCAATGAAAATACAACAAAACCAGTCTATTCGACGGCCAAGTCGACAGCTTGCCCCAAACAAACCAAGGTAATAAATTAAAATGTGGCAAAAATTAAAGCGTTAAAAAAATATTTTACTATTTTTGCTCAAATTACAAACTTTACTAATTACAGTTTTTCTTTGCTTTGTATTTTCACAATATGTGGAATACCAAAAGTTTGAAACTATTTCATTGCATATGTCTCATTCATTGGTTCAGCTGGATGTAATATATTTACTTACTAAGTCACAAACATATATTACATTCAACCAAAAATATTTATAAAAGGCTCAGTTTTGTCATGTGTATGTATATAGTCATAATATTTTATGATTTTATAAACACATTGACTTAATTTATTGTTTTTTCAGACAGGATGCACACATAGACCTTTAAGTGTCATCTATACACATTTTGTTTTTATTATTGCAAACCTCTTTAACCTCCTTTATATTAGATGACTTGGAGGGTAGGACTGAAATCTTAACTCTTAATTCAAGTAATAACTTGTCTCAGATTTAACAAGTAATATAGATCAGCTTTTAAAATGCAAATATTAACTAATAAATATAGTGGACATTTCTTGTAGTTGGGGTGAAGTTGGGAATATGGAGTAAGGTTGGAGATGATTATTGCACAAAAGCATTTTGATGGAGCCATTTTCGTTTCGCTACATTACAGTAATTTTTGACACAAAATAATCATTTCTTGGTTACCAGCTAATACAGTATTTATAAATAAATACTGCTCTTCATTGAAATGAACATGACGATTTGGTTAGCTATAGGATAAAGTATACACTTTTATCATGGATCTGATTCCAGTTGTCCTTTTAAACACAGGAGTTTCTGTATTTGAATAGTGATGTGCATTGGCTGTAATATCAGAAATACTTTCATTCTAGCCTAATATCATATATGAAACTTTTCTTGAAGCTAATATCACAAGGAAATAATTTAGAATGGAAAAGGTAGATTGGTGTTTCATTTCAGTGAAAACGTTGAATTTTTGTATGAGATATCAGTAAGTTCAATCGCTCAGTCGTGTCCGACTCTTTGTGACCCCATGAACAACAGCACACCAGGCCTCCCTGTCCATCACCAGCGCCCGGAGTTTACCCAAACTCATGTCCATTGAGTCAGTGATACCATCTAAACATCTCACTCTCTGTCGTCCCCTTCTCCTCCTGCCTTCAATCTTTCCCAGCATCAGGGTCTTTTCNGTTGTTCCATGTCCAGTTCTAACTGTTGCTTCCTGATGTGCATACAGATTTCTCAAGACGCAGGTCAGGTGGTCTGGTATTCCCCTTGCTTTCAGAATTTTCCACAGTTTATTGTGATCCAAACAGTCAAAGGCTTTGGCATAGTCAATAAAGCAGAAATAGATGTTTTTCTGGAACTCTCTTGCTTTTTCTATGATCCAGTGAATGTTGGCAGTTTGATCTCTGGTTCTGCCTTTTCTAAAACCAGCTTGAACATCTGGAAGTTCACGGTTCACATATTGCTACAGCCTGGCTTGGAGAATTTTGAGCATTCCTTTACTAACGTGTGAAATGAGTGCAATTGTGTGGTAGTTTGAGCGTTCTTTGGCATTGCCTTTCTTTGGGATTGGAATGAAAACTGACTTTTCCAGTTGTGGCCACTGCTGAGTTTTCCAAATTTGCTGACATACTGAGTGCAGCACTTTCAGAGCATCATCTTTCAGGATTTTAAACAGCTCAACTGGAATTCCATCACCTCCACTAGCTTTGTTCGTAGTGATACTTCCTAAGGCCCACTTGACTTCACATTCTAGGATGTCTGGCTCTAGGTGAGTGATCACACCATCATGATTATCTGGGTTGTGAAGATCTTTTTTGTATAGTTCTTCTGAGTATTCTTGCCACCTCTTCTTAATATCTTTTGCATTTCTAATTTTCTTGAAGAGATCTCTATTCTTTCCTATTCTGTTGTTTTCCCCTATTTCTTTGCATTCATCGCTGAGGAAGGCTTTCTTATTTCTCCTTGTTATTCTTTGGAACTCTGCATTCAAATGGGTATATCTTTCCTTTTCTCTTTTGCTTTTCACTTCTCTTCTTTTTACAGCTATTTGTATGTGAAAAAAGATGTATGGTATGGTAAAGCTAAATATTGAAAATTAGTGATTATATGATAGTAATTGGCCTGAATAAACTCAAAGAATTCAGAGACACTGAAGATCATTCCATATACCTAGTGCAAAACATCTAAAAATTAAATTTCTATTATTGTAGAACCGTTAATGCATAAATACCAATTATTTTAATATCTCACATTATATAGTGCTTTATGCTTCTAGCATGCTTCCATATCCTATTCTCTCTTTTAACTTCCTATGTATTCTATCATTTGATCTTTAAAATACTTGGTGCTAGGTGCTTTTTTTTTTTTTCAGACTCTAGGAAGGCAAACAATTTGGTTAGATTCAGGACTATAAGAACTCCAGTTTTTTTTAGTATATTTTATTCTTTTTGCTATTTTACAAGTTAATGATTTCACTATATATGATAACACATAGTTTATGAAGCAGTTTTCAGACTGAGACATGTTTCAATTATATAAATTTTCATGTTCACTGACTGATAATTTTCTTGCCTCCCCCACTACAGCATTACAGTTCATTTGAAAGCACATTTACTTTTAATTTTTGTTACTTTTTTTTAGTTCTGGCCCTGCCCTTCGAATCATTCTTCATTGATTTTTTAAAAATACATTTGCATAGCAACAGTAAGTAATAGGGATTTCTTTTTCTCACAACTATGCATGTAGATAAAACTAATACCAAAACTGACTGTAAAATGTATAGGGATTTTTTTTTTTTTGGCATTTTAAAATCTAGTATGCTCTTTGAAATTTTAAATGAAAAGATGGGCAAATTTAAAATATAATTTTGCATCTTATGCCTCTGCAACATTATTTCCATTGCTTTTAACATATATGCCTCCATTGCTTCATTAACTCATAAAATTGTATCTGTGTCTGTCCTTATGTGAATAACCCTGCATTTTGCATTCCATTTTGGGTGTCACATTTTAGGAGTGGCATACACAAATTGGAAGGTATACAGAAGGGAATTACTGAGGGAGTAATGTGTCATTTGATGGTGTTACACATGTAGCAAGTGGATGAACTTTAAGTCTTCTGAGGAGGTGATCTGAAAGGGTGGGAGATCATAAATAACAGTAAAGACTTAAAAGATTTTTCCTTGAAAGAACCAAGCAGAGAGGCATATCCTAAATTAGCAGGGAAAGCTATCAAGCAATCAGACGTGCAAAATTGAAAGAATTGGCTTGCTCTAGAATGGTGAGTGCCCTGTCACCACAGGTGTGCACTTGGTTTAGATGACTGGCTGGCAGAACTGTGAGGGAACAGTGCTCTTCCATCTGTCCTATGTATGCAGTGTGATGTCGAGTAGCATGGCTCGAGAGGGGAGTCAAGCCTTGGACCAGATGATCTTTAATACCTGCTAATTTATAACGTATTCCTACAGACAAATGGGTAGAGCTTTAAAGCACTATCCAAGAAAACGTAGGAACAGAATATCTGGTTTGTATTAACAGTGATTTAATATATAGCTCTTCATTTGTGCTCATTTAATATTAGTCTTAGCACTAGTCAGTCTAGCTTTAGTTGAACCAATTAACTCACATGGTATCTTTCTTAAAACAAATGTTTGGCTTCATTAGACATCATCACATTTGTACATTCCTAGACACACTAAAACATAGCACCCATAAATATTCATCTAATCTTTTTTTTTAACTTTACCTTTGTTAACAACTGCATCATTGCATTTTTTTCTTTTGGCTTCTGTCATGTTCTTATTCTGAGTCTTCTTTTACATCTCTTTGCAGTGCTTCCCTTTTTCTGTAGTTCTGAAGTGCTTGAAGTAATATGTGTTAGCTACTATTATTATATACAATGACATTTCTGAGGGCATATTATATTATGCCAGGCTCTCGTCTGAGAACTTTAACTGTACTAACTTATTCATCCTTGTAACCACCCTGTGATTTAGCGGTTCTGTTTTACAGATGAGGAGACTAAGACACTGAAACATTGTGTGCCCAGTGTCACACAGCTCACGAGCAGCAGGGTCACGAGTTTAGATCCAAATAAGCTAGTTCCAGATCCTGCGTCCTCAGCTGTTTCACACTTCTCTGCCTCATGGTGATTCAAGGAGACTTGAATTAATTGGCAGTTTATAAAACATAATGTGTAGAATGCTATTCTAGAAGAAAGTTATTTTTCTTTAATTTGAATTAAAACACTATGCTAGAAAAGTAAGAAATTTGTGACTAAAAGGCTGACTTTTGATGAAGACAGTTTGGAGAGATCCTCATTTGTTCCAGTGCAAGATACAAAATGTTGGTCCCTGCTGAGGGCTTTTCTCTTTAATTTTCTATGAAGATTTTTTTTTTAAGCCGTGCAGAAAAATATAAAGCAGAAATGCAACAAATACTTGTTTTAAAAAATAAAGCATTACCAGTACAGTTAAAACTTAAGGGTAGGGGGAGCTAGTATTTTATCATTATTTCATCTTCATTCTTTTCCAGTTTTAAATATTAGAACATTAATAGACTAATTGGAAAAAGATAATAAAGTTATATACAACTTGACGTATCAAAAGTAAATTCATGAATGAAGTAGAAGAAAATAGGGGAATGTATATCTGATCTTAGATTTGAGAGGACCTTCCTAAGAGTAAAAGCAAAGAAAGAAAAGAAAGTAAAAGATTGACTAACCAAAAATTAAAGCCTTATAGATTTTTTAAATGCCACACATTTTACAACACACATGAGAAAGATGGGCTAGTGTCTTTATGCATGGAGTTCTTATATAAGTCATTTAGAAAAAGGAGATTGACTTTTCCCAATATAAAAATTAGGAACATATAAGTATTACCATGAATATTAAAAGTTATCAACCTGATTATTAAGCAAAGAAATTAAAACTATATTGTAAAACTGTTCTCACCTGCCAAAATGATAAAGATTAAGAAACTTAGTATTGGTAAGATGTAAAGAAACAGACCCACTTATATGCTGCCAGTAGAACTCAAAACTCAGTGCACCTCCTTCTGCAGCAGTCTTTGGTGATAAGTTTCATAGGCCTGAAATGTATAGCCATTGATCAGTTAACATGTTGTTTATTATGGAGATATGAACAAGAGTTTTGGGAGAACAAAGGAAATCATGGAGAATTCTGCCATTAAAGCATCAAGGAAAGTCTCAGAAAAATGGAGGATTAGTAATTTACCAGGCAAAGAAATAAGAGAAAAGAAAGTTTTAGGCAAAATATTATATGCAGAGGCACTGGTTGTCAGGGTTACATGTGTGTTTGCAATGTTGTATGGGGTTACAGTGGGGAGTGGGTCAGAATAGGAAGCAGAAGAAGGTGACACTGAGAAAGCTCTGGGCCAGATTGAAAAGGACTGAGTTCATCACTATGCTAGAGTCGTCTTGATTTTGTTCTAATAGGAGGCTTTCAACGAGAGATTAGTATGTTTTGTCTTAATGAGATCCTGAACTAAAATACTGACAGTAAAAATGGAGAGAAGAAATCAAGTTAAAGACAGATTTTTTAAGTTGAAATGACAACTAGATGACTGACTGGGAGTGGTTGAGGCAGAGGTTTTAAGGGAAGTTTCATCGTGCATTTTCCTGGGCTTCCCTAGTGGCTTAGCTGGTAAAGAATCTGCCTGCAATGTGGGAGACCTGGGTTTGATCCCTGGGTTGGGAAGATCCCCTGGAGAAGGGAAAGGAAAGGCTCCCTACTCCAGTATTCTGGCCTGGAGAATTCCATGGACTGTGTAGTCCATGGGGTCGCAAAGAGTCGGACACGACTGAGTGACTTTTGCTTTCACTCATCATGCATTGCACTGATAGCCTAGTGATGAGACTTTTAAAATCTGAAGATTGTGACCTGGGCACACACTTCACACATTTTCCAGAGGTTTTGGAAGGATATGAGGTGCATGTTTTTCATAAAAGTATACTAAAACAGGGGCTTGGATATGCAGGAAGAACTCCCTGCTTATGCAAGAAGTCTCCCAAGTAGTAGAGTTGAAACCATAGCTATACATGTAAGGCTAAATAAATGAATATATACTCGGCTGTGCTATGTTTTAAGGGAATAAATAATTATATCTGAGTTTGTGTGCTTAAATTTTTTATTTAGTGCATATTGAAGTAGAGTAATTTGAGTTGATTTGTTTACTTTTAAATTAGGGTAATAATCATCCATCAACCTACTCTGTCAGTGATTCTCAAAGTCAGCCAGCTGTATCAGAATTCATCTCAAAATTCATCTTAAAAATGCAAATACTTACCTACCCACCTTACCCCCAATTTAATTATATCAGAATCTCTTGAGATGAAGCCTCGGAATGTGCATTATACATAGCATTGGGTAAATCATATACACTAAAGTTTAAGAACCAATTGCATAGTGACCATAGCTGAGTTTTGGGGACCAGGTGAGTTCCTTGGCACAAATGTATTCATGAGTGTCACAGTTATAAACAATGAGGAAGTTACTTCTGTTTTTAAAAATAAAAATTATTGCAATGTTAGGTGATTGGGTTGAATTGGAAAGGGAAGATTGCATATACCCCTCTTCTAAGTCTTAATTTATTTGGCCAAGATAAGTTGCTAATGCTGTTTATCTACCTTTGGTTTTTCCCTTATCTGTAGTTTTATGGAAGGCTTAACCTTTGGTGACCCATTGAACAAGTAAGGTCCTGCAGGAATTGAGAAAGCTACATTCTTAGAATTAATCGTCTTTCATACTCGGGTTTATGGTACAACGCTGGGAAAATGTGAGCTGACAATCTGGACACTTCTGTGAAGGGAACATTGACACATGTTGAGCTTTCATAATTCTTAAATGGGGTGTCAGGGTGGCTACATTTTTATGTCGGCCCAGTGGAAAGAAGATTATGTCTTACCCCTGAATATTTTCTGTGTCCTCTGTTCTGTGATGGTTTGGAAGGCATACCTGGTCAACATGATTATGTGCATTTGCATATAAAGAGAAAGACTTCTCTGAGTGCTTCCATCTCAATTTTAATCATGTTGTTATCAGTGAAGGGAAAGTTAAAATGTTTACAGCATAATGTGTGATTTTTCCATCATAAGATATTAAGCTGTTGTTTCTAAAGACTGTTAGAGTATAAACTTGCAAACCTCCTATTGCAGATTGCTTGATTTGGCATTTAAAGACTGGGATTGGTCATTTGATGATGTTGATGGTGGTGATGATGATGACGATGTTTTTGATTTCTGAAGAAGTTAAATGGGGTAAATCAAAAAATGAGAAATGAGTTGTTTTAGTTTTTCCAAGTAGTGCATGTGGTTTGCACTTTGGGTTTTCATTCTTTTTTTACCAGTTTGAAATTTTATTGAGTTGTTTTTGATAGAATATATTTGAAAAATAGCCTTCAGACAAATTTCTAACTGAAATTTCCATGTTAAGTATGAAAGCAAAATGCTATGTTCAGATTCCTTATTGGCTATATATTTTCAATACAGTTGGAATTTTAATTTTTTATCTTAGGAATGAAACATGTAGAAATAACAAATGGAGCTAATTCTGATACTTTCTGTTCATTCTAAAGAAGTCATATGCAGAGAAGTAAAATTTACAGTGTTTTCAAGTTCTTACAGCTGTATTAGTTTGTGAACATAGCATGGGATTCCTTCTCCCTCCATCCCTCTCTTCTTCCCCACTCTTTCCCTCTTTCTAACTTGCAAGAATTGAAACCATAAAAAACTTTGATAAATGCTGTGAACTAGCTATTTCTGATTTTGCTTTTTTTTGTGATATGAAATGTTTACTTTTTGAAAATTTAATGTTACTTTTGCTGAAGAATGCTAATGGTATGCTGTGAAAGCTCTTGTGCTTTTAGAAAATGTCATTTGGTTAATAGAGGCTAACAGAGATTTGAATGAAAACTTAACCTCATGAGTTAAACCTTATATATGGAATGAATGTAAAAGAAATAATGTCTATCTTAACCTAAATAACATGTTGCAAAGTACATACTTAAATCACACATTATTTGGATCTGTTTATAACCAGGATTTACAGGGTATTTTTTACATATATTTACTACAACAGTGTGTTTGTTCCCATTTTGTAGATTTTTTAAATGTGGCATAGGGTGAAACAGCCAAGTAGAGCCTGGTCCTTCAGTCCACTCTTCTTTCACCCACACGAGGAAGCTAACAGTTAAACCTCAAATCAAACAGGTTCACTTGAGTTATTCATACCATCTCACCCTGATAGCCAGTTAACCATATTAAAACTTGTGTGTCATGTTTGTGGACAATATGAGAAAATATGAGGAAGCATATAATTGCATGTACCTTGAAATAAGAAAAGTAAGACAGTAAATATGCTATATGCATGATTTAGGTGTTAAAAAGTATAGTAGTTGGAAGACTGTAGAGTTTGATGTAAATGGAATGCCTTTTCAAAGAACTGATCATAATCTCTTAAATTATTTCACTGTATCAACTGACTTTATTTTCCTTTTCTTTCCAGCTAACTGCCTTCTGTGAATGCAGTCATTATTCAAGGTGATCATATTCTTCCAGTTGAAACAAGACTGAAATATGATGGCCCAAAATTTATTAAAAAGTTATATTTTCCTGAGAGACTAATACACATATATATTCCCTCTATTCCTGCAATATAAATTCTAAATCTTCGATAGGTTTTCTGGGCTCCTTTGGAGCAACAAGTTGAACCAACAGTGATTGGTTAATAGAATAAGAATATCATGTGCAACTCTTTCAGACTTGTTCCATAAAGCTCTCCTAGCATCATTCACACTACATTGCATAAAGAATTTAGAAGAGTTACAGAAATCATCTTTTCCACTTCAACAGAGAGATTTCACCAGCACATTTGCCAGAAGAATCTGGGAATGGATTCCACTACAGTGATAGAGACTGCGTCTTTAAGAAGTGACCATTGTATTGTGTGTGTGAACACACACACACACACATACATAAACACACACACAAATAGTACTGTAATACTGCAAGAGGGTTTTTTAACTTCCCACTTTATTTTTTTATAAACATTAATCAGATATCATTACTTACTGCATTTGCAACTATGCACTTGTATAAAGCCATAATGTTGGAGTTTATATTACTCATTGTGTGTACCTGCTGGAAGCTGCATGTTCATGTTTAAGCAATTATTGCAACAAGTTTGAAGTTAATTATATCAGTTTCTTAATGCTTTGTAATAGGCAACTTTACCCAGTTTGAATGCCTTAATTTAATTTTTTTCAAGATATCCACCCTTTCCTGTATTTAAAACAAACAAAAAAAAGTATTTACCAGCTCTTAGGATGCAAATTTGCTTTGCAGAAGAAAATTAGTGCACTATTTTTACACATAGTAGTTATCATTGTCAGCCTATTTTGATTGTATAACAGAATTTTGTTTAAGTATTGGTGATAGAAACAGTAATGGGTAGTATTGGAACTAATACATCTTTTATGTATATCTATTACTTATCCGACCCCTTTTACAGACCTCAGTATTAGTGTGTGACTATGAAACATTTTCTTTGCTTTTAATTTGCTGGCTACCCTAGGTGTGTTTTTATTTCTGATAAAGACATTTGTGACTTTTTACATTTTCACACTCAAGATTCAAAAAATTATCTCAAATACAAATAAAACTAAGACATACTGTAGATATATTTTAAGTATTTAAGTGTGATCCCGTAAACACATGACTGTGTATGGCAGCATTTCATTATTGTGGCTGGGAAGCAGTGGCCTCAAAGGCACTTAATTTTTATTTTTTTAAATGTTATTCAAGTTACATACAGTTTATGCAGGACCATTCCTGCTTTATTTCTCATTATCCCAGAAAAGTATGTGTTTTATACTGCTACAGTATACATCAGTGATAAGAATCAAGTAAAGAAAAATTCTGTGATCTTCTCTCAGCCTCTCTGTGTATATACATGTACATAGAGTTTGGCATGATACTGAGATACATCATCCAATATTTCTATGAAGGAAGTAGACATTTTTCATTGATTCCTTCTGGGGTCAGTGTTGAAGTGTTTAAAGAGTTAGATCCCCAATTATAGATACTATTGTGGAAATTGAAGAGTGGCCTTTGGCTGCTGATGTACTGAAACTGAATCTTCTTATTACATCATCCAGGCTGCACTCTTCCATGCTGTCTGTGCTAAAACTAGATATGCATGCCATTTCCCTTGCAGGTATGTTCTGGTTCGGGGGCACAGCTCTTTTTTTTAAGTAAGATTAAAAAATGAAAAATATATAAAATTTATATAGAATAAATATTTCCATTCATTAGACTTGTTAAAAGGAGACTGAATTAATATTTTATATAGAGATTTTGTTACACTATGGGAGGTTCTATCATATTATTCTGAATTGGAGAGTATATATATATATTTTTAATAAACTTTATTAAGGTGAAATAATTTGAAGTTTACACATGAGTAATTGAAATATTTGAGTAAAAATGGCAAAAGTTTAAATTTTGAATGCTGTATATATATTAGAGAATATGGAGAATCATGGTGTGATGCAACTATACAAGGAAAATTAATGTGAAGTTTTTTGGGGGGCAAAGAGATCCTAAGGGGCAAAAAAAAAAATCTTTCCATGAGGATTCTTCACATTATATGGTTTGACATAAGGATTTATAGGTCGTTTGTCCAGCCAATGGAAATGTGCTTAATAAAAAATTCTGACCTTGGGTAAGAATTTGCTTTATACCCTGTTGCTGGTTTCATGTACATACAAGTGCATGCCCCCATCCAAAATGTTTTCTTCCCAACACTCATTAAATGTGACATTGACTTGGTCTAACAACCTGCTTTTGTGCCAGCTTCTTTTTCTTGAGGCTCCAAAACCTCCAAGATAAAGTTAAGACCAAAAGTTACTTGTTTCCTCACACCTGATTTCTCCTAGAGCCACAAATACCTCCTTTTGAGAACTAAGAAGTAGTGAATACTGGGATTTTCTTAGTTGGGTTGTTTTTTGTTTTTTGTTTTTTTTTACTTTTGTGGGAATACTGAGGCAAAGCAGAAGGAAAACTGGTGCCAGGGTTACTGCTGAGGATGACTGTCTAGTGCATGTTGAAAGTATTAATAAAAAAGAAATGCTATCTAGAAGCAAACTTAAAAAAAAATAAGTTTAAAATGCTCTGGAGCTAACTAAAGGATAAGTATACCAATAAATCTAAAATAAAGGTGAGTGTTTTTAAGATTAACCTGTGCTAGAGTTAGACGATTCTGGCTGTGAACGCTCTCCTTTATCCCAGTTTATCTGTAGATCCTCAAGAAAAAATACTCTAGGTTGCCAAACCACAATTTGAGAACTTATGCTGCTGCTGTTAATCTATTACAGGATTTGGTTTGGTAAAATAGAGAAACTGGACACTATATTACCTTATGGAAACATGTTTCAAATAACATGTTTTAAAAATCCAATGAGAACAAGTCACTTCTGAGTTTCTTGATCTCTGTTGACACTGCTACTGACTCACCTCTCCTCCCCTGGAATAAGATGTCAGTTTCCCTATATTGTGAAGATACCATGGTTGGTTTGTAAAGCACTTTGAAGAATAAGCACTGTCTGACAGTGCTAGATACTATGTTTAGGGGGTTCTCTCCTTGATTCCCTTCCCCATAATAATGAGTTTTGTTTGGGGTTGTAGTAAGTTATGAACTGCATGGTTTAGATAATCATAAATATTTGATCAGCTGTCCCCTTGAACAAAAATCATGGTGCCCCCCAATTTTTTTTAAATTTTGTTGCATCTTTGTAGTAATGTAATTGTATTTTATGCCTGCTTTTTATATTAAAAATTAAATAAAAGAAATTAAGACATAAGCATTTTCCTACTTTTCCTGTGAAATACTCTTGCAACCTTCTAAAATTTACCCCCCAAAATTACTTTCCCTAAAAGATGGGTATAGCAAAGAAATCTTAATTGAGGTTACACACTTGGGGATCTTCAGCCCTATTGCTTAATCCATGGAGAAATACAAAATCAAATTTCAACTAGGAGTTTGTGTCTAATTTAACATCAGTATTTTAAGGAACATGCAAACGTGAGAATCTCATTTGAGTGTCAAGGATAAGGAAAAGAAGCAAAAGTCTGTTTCGGCAGAATAGTGTGCTAACAAGTGGTTTTCTAGAACTTTCTGGTAATCAGTGAGGTCTTTTCTAGGATACTTGCTGGCTATCTGATCTGGGACAGGTTATTCAGTATGGGTTTCAGTGTTTTCATCTGTAAAATGGAGACTGTTTACTTACAGGATTGTTGTGGGATTAATGTTGTGTACAGAATATCTGGGGTGGCTCTAACGTATGTTCCTTTCCCTCCCAAAGGGGAAAAATGGAAAACTCTCCACCTAAGGAGTTGCTTTAAGCATTGATAAAGTATATCTAAATAAAATATTTGTTAGACTAAAAAAACCACACAGTTTATACTACTAGTCAGATGATAACTGCATATGAGAAAAGATTTACTTGGACTTTTTTTAAAATGCAAACTATGATTTTTAAAACTATAGAATGAATGACTTGTTTTTTTTATCTTTAGATGCCATGTTTCTCTTCCTATTGGTCCCAAGCAGTAGTTCTAAAAGGATTAGTCAGTTTTTATTTTTAAAACTACTTTACCTAACTTAAAGCTAATCACATTAAAACAATGAGTTTTAAGACTCAGAAGAGTTCAAAATAAGTTTATTTTACACAGGAAACATTTTCTAATAAACATCATTTACTTACTGCATATAATAGAATAATGCTACTCAATTATTTGGTGAATGTTTTTAAATGTTAGGTTTTATAAGCTTTTATAGGAAAATACAGTGGATAATCTTAACAGCATGTTTAGAGTATGATACCATAATGAGAATTAAATCCATGAGAGCTTGGCAGAACCCAGCAATACTCTTTGCTGCATATATTTTCAGTAGGCAAACCCTGGTTGAGGTTGGCTGTATTTTGTACCAAATTCCAGTAACAGTTAATTGTGCAGGTGTGATCCTTTTAAAAATGGCAGCATTGTGCTTGAATCTGGAAGTATACTGGGATTGCCCCTTCAAGTAGAGATTGCTGCTATCTTTTGTTATGAAATGTTTAAAGGCACAGTATGAAGTTAAAGAGCTACTTTGGTATATGCATTCAAACCAGTTACATTTTTGCTTGCCTTGATATCTTTGCTATAGCCAAGGAGGTATTTTATGATAATATGATACAATAAGGCCATCCTATTACGTATGTATTACAATTAAACATTCGTCCCAGGAAGTGAACCCTCGTAATTTATTAAAATTTCCAAAATCCCACTCCATTCATGTGCATTTGTGTTTTGGAGAGGCTGTATTTCTTAAAAGAGATTGTAAAAGCTGAGAAGTAGATGTAATTAGTTCCCAGAATAAGGGTCAAAGCTACCTCCTCAGAATGGGCTTTTGGAAGACTTCCATCCATCACCAGCCTTCTCAGAACTGCAGATGTCTAAGTCCTACCTTAACCTAATAAAGTGGGGGTGGAGGATTTTTAAAAATAAACATTTTTAAACAAGTGTTTAACTGGGCTTTTTCAAGTCTATATCTTTGGCACAGTTGACTAAACTTATGATTTAGCAGTGAGCTTTTTTTTCCTTTGGTTCAGTTATTCAGAATCCACTTTGTGTATAGGAATAATCCATCATTCAGACTTTATATCGGTCTTCCGGTAGTGAAGTATTGTAGCAGTTACCCATATGTTTAAGGCCAGCATGATCACAAAACGTATAAGAACTGAAATGAGTCAAAAAAGAAAAGTGTATATTAAAAAATACTGTTTTCACATAAAATCATCACCTTCTCTAAGTAGAAGCCTAAATAGACTTAATGCTCCATACCCCCCACCCAAAAGGAAACAGAACTATGGATCATGTGAGCGTTAGTGCAACTGTGGTTCCAAACATTTCTGGGGAAAAAAATGGTCTTATCATTACTACCTCTGGTCACTTGGCCTGACTTCAGGAATAATTTCATCTTAAATGCTTAATTTGGAGGAATCTGACTCTGGTTGGTAAATGCTACAATTTTTAAAAAACCTGTTACCATTTTTTAAGTCTTAAGGGTGATGGTACCTTAGAAAATTCCATGTTAATTAAGCAAAAAGTAGTACACTGCAATCAGTTAAGATAATTCTGAAAAACATCAAGGTATGTTTTATATTAAAGTAACCATGAAAACGTAGCTTTTTGTTAAAAAGGAAAAAATAATCTCAATGACTTATTGAACACTCCTGATAAATAAGGTTTATGAGACTTAATGTGTCTTTGGGGTTGTCAAACACTTTTAAGATAGTTGGACTGTTTTTAAGAGAGTATTCTCAGATAATCACTTTACTATTCTCAGAAAGTTCACTTTCATGAACAGCTGTCACCTCAGATACAAAACAAATCACAATTAGAAGATTCTCGACCTTTTAAAATTAATTTTTAATATGAAATTTGTTTTGTTGTTCAACTATGGTTTGACTCTCCTTTGCAAGCAGAGAATTCACATCGTATAGGGAAGCCTCAGGTTTCTCCCTTCCCTACTTGACCCAGGTATACGCTCTTGCCAGACACTTTAAACCCTTCTCTCAGAGCTAATGTAAAGTACTTGAGCCAAAGATAAAACCCTGGGATGGGACTAGCAAATGCATCCTGCTGCTTTCTGGCACTATGTCTCAGATAATAATGAACTTCTTTAAAAGGTCTACACACCAAGGGCACATTTCTAGTCTTCACAGAATAAATCTCCCTACCTGTCTTAATCATTTTCCAAACATTTATATGCTTGGAAACTCAGCCTAATCAATGAATGGCATTCTCTTTAGGTTAACCCAAGTTTGTTTTCTCCTCCATCACGGTAACCCTTTAAAAGTAACAGAACAAGGACATGGAGTAAAATGATTGTGTCACTCCCCATCCTGCTGCCCGTGGGCAGTTCTCTGAGGCTCCCTGCCACCACCTTCCCTCTCATTAGACTCACCCCAGGGCTCTCCCACCAGCCCTGCTGGTGTTCCTCCATCCTCCTTGCTCACAACCTCCATACGTGCTGCTCCTTGTTAACAGTCTCTTCCCTCCTCATCCCTCTCCCCTTCAAATTAATCTTCCCAGCTCCCTCCAACTATGTCAGGCTTCCTTGTTAGGTGCTCAGACTGTCCTCTTTCAAAACACTTTACAATATTTTTCAAAAATTGTGTGATGACCTCACTCTTCATTTCCACTGCTGGAGCGGAAGCTTTATGAAGAATCGACTATCTTGTGCATATTCTATCCCGGATACAGCAAGAGGATGCTTAACACTATACATGGAGACTGATGAAGGCCTGCAGTATATTGCAGCTAGCCTCCAGTGGGGCTAAACTGGCTCTGTTAAACCCCAAGATAATTTACAAGTGAAGGAGGCAGATGGCATAAAGTTCAAAGAGGACATGGGCAGAAAAATATTTTGCTTACTTGTAAGATCATTGGTGGTCATTAAAGTTGTTATTATTCTTGCTGTAAAAGAAAAATTTCAGCAATAAATATTAACTCAGACATTTCAGTACTTAGCAAATATCTTTCCATTTTAAATACAGGAATACACACTAACTATTCTTGAAAGATCTGAGTAGAAGAGAACCCTGGATGGAGAAGCTTAAGTTTTAAGATTAAGATAGTTTAAGTTAAGATAGTTTAAGATTTTAGAAGAAACATGAAAAAGTATAATTCAAATATCAACAATTAGTAAATCTAATGAATGTAATAGCTCTGGATTTTTTAAAATGTTCCTACCTAAATAGAGTATATATTCATTTTAGGTAGTTCCTGCAAGAAGCCAAATGAACAATGGAAATTGTAAAGTTGAGGCCAAACACACCATGGCTCCAGGAAAATTCCACTGCTGCAAATTATGTTCATTCACAAAAGTCAATGTATGATTCTCATCTCTTCAATTTATTACATCATAAACATGTTTAAAACAAGTTAGTGGATTTAATATAATCAACTTCTTGATGCTTTGCAAACAAGAGAGGACTGTTAATATTAGGTCATATTTTTGGAGAAAAGTGTCCTTTCAGATTTTTTTAGCAACTGGGATACAGATCTTGCAGAAAATGGAGAGTGGGGTGCATGAAATCAGTCTTATAAATAAGGATACACTAGAGATTCAAGAGTTACACGCAAAGGATTTAAGCTCAAGGGATTATGACCCTTGGACATCAAGTTAGCACACCCCTCTAGGTAGACACCCCACACAGACACTAACAGGGGACACTCCATCAATTAGAGCTGTGTTCTTACCTGCACAGGTATAAGAAGCGAGGTTCCACGTCAGAGCGCTCACAGCTCCTGAGTCCCTGCTCTTCCACAGGTACTGGAGCTGGGCAAACTTACTGGCCGCACTGATGAAAGTGCATAAATTCTGTTTGAAGATAAAACAGGAAAAAGGAGTCCCTTAGTTTCAAATGCAGAAGAGCACCAGATACTGAAAGCCCCTTTGTGGGGAGAAGAGGGGTTATTGTTTTTGGGATTCCCCAACCAGGGATTGAAGCTGGACCACCAGAGTCCTAGCCACTGGACCACCAGGGAATTCCCTGAAAGCACCTTTGAAACCAAACTTTCATGTCAAGTAATAACCAACAAGGACAAAAGCCAAGTTTCATGATGAAGAATGGAGGCAGCAGCGGCATGCTTAGGTCTAACCCACCAACCCCTTCAGGTGAGTAACCAACGTGCAGCCACAGGTAGGACGTAACCGAGGGTAAAAATCTGCAATGGCCACAAAAGCTTATCTGTCCCCACCTGCCAATAATAAATTGATGTATAGATACTACAGTAGAGCGTGGGGGCACCA